AGGCTGATGAAGTCTCTGGTTTATGTGGCCCTTTCTGTCTCTTGGGCTAATACTTTCCTTGTGTCTTTGGTGTTCTTCATTCTCCTTTACTCCAGGTGGGTTGGGGCCAATTGATGCATCTTAGATGGCTGCTCACTAGCTTTCAAGACCCCAGACACCACTCACCAAATTGGGATACAGAACATTTTCTTAATAAACTTTGTTATGCCAGTTGACCTAGATGTCCCCTTAAACCATGGTCCCCAGACCCCCACCTCTGCTACTCTGTCCCTTGAAGTGTTTGTTTGTATTCAGGAAGCTTCTTAGCTTTGGTTTAGTCCAGTTGTGCTGACTTTCCTGTTATATTTTGTATTCTTTTTGAAAGAGGTATCTACCTAGATTTATAACACATTTCTATCCTTTGTTTAATATGTAGGAAATCTTAAATTTGGATATTTTGTCATTGCATATCAAAAAAAGTAAGAATTAGTAACTCACTGGAAGATACATAAGATACTAGAAGGTCATTTTCACTGTTATCGTTGCTCATTATTATTTATTTATAATGAAAGCCAGAGTCCTGAAGTAGTGCTCTTAGAGCCTATTTCTTTTCATGGTGGCCAGAACATAAGGGTTTTCTTATATTCAGCTATTTATATTTGTGCTGATCAACTAATGATTAAATTTCTCCCCTGTGTAGGCAGAGAACAAGCAGATTTCCTTGGAAAAGCAACTGCAGGTCCTGCGGGAAACTGACCACATGCTTCAAGTCTTGCAGGAGAGCTTAGCAGAGCTGGATAAGCAGCTCACCACATACTTGACCGATAGGATAGATGCCTTCCAAGTTCCACAGGAAGCACAGGTATTGCCAGGGATTTGAGGGCTTTTGCACCATAAAGGGAGTAGGTAATGGCTTTTTCAACTTCAGGCAAGCCTATCCTGTCATCCAAAGCTAGAGTTAGTGAGAAGTATTTTCCTTATTTATCGGGCAGTGTATGGGTTTTGGAGTTCTCTTGCACTCTCTGTGAGACGCTGGCAAATAGCCTAAATCTCTAAATTATAGTTTCTTTATCTATGAAAGTGGAACAGTTTTTTTCCTTATAGATAAGTTGCTAGCATTAGAAATGACATTCGCAAAGACCTTAGAATGTGCATTGTACACAGTAGGCCTGCAATACGGTGTGCCCCTTATTATTATGCTGTGAACCTATTAAAGCTTTAAAAAAAAAGTCAGTTGTCGTTGAGTCGATTCCATCTCATGGGAATGCCATGTGTGTGAGAGTAGAACTGTGTGTGTTCCACTGGGTTTTCAGTGACTGATTTTTCAGAAGTAGATTATCAGGCCTTTCTTCCAAGGCAACTTTGGGCAGACTCATACCTTCAGACTTTGGGTTAATAGCTAAGCACGTTAACCATTTGCACCAGCCAGGGACTGTGTTAAAGCTTATTGTTACTAGTTGTCATTGAGTTGGCTCCGGCTCATGGTGATCTCATGTATAACAGAAGGAAACATTGCCTGGTCCTGTGCCATTTCCACAGTCTTTGATATGTTTGAGCCCATTGTTGAGCCTATTGTGTCAATCCATCCCCATGACGTTTTCTCTCATTTTCACTGACCCTCCAGTTTCCCAAACATGATGTCCTTTTCTAGCAACTGGACTCTCCTGATGAAATGCCTTAGATCGGATTTGGAATATTTAAATTATTGTATGATTATATGGAACTTTTGTTTCATTTCTTCTAATACATTTTTGAAAGACATTCTCTCCTCTTTCTAATATCTTTGTCAGAAAATCCAAGCAGAGATATCAGCCCACGAGCTAACTCTAGAAGAGTTGAGAAGAAACATGCGTCCTCAGCCCTCGACCTCCCCAGATGGCAGGACTACAAGAGGAGGCTCTCAGATGGATGTGCTACAGGTGAAGAGGCAGAGCAGCTGCCTTGTACTTTTCAATATGTAGGGGATGAAAAGAAACGTAGAAAGAGTTGATTACTTGGGTGCCTTTGGTATTTGTTATGATGTAAACAGTAGGATGGGAGTAATGTGTTAAGGGCACATTGTACCCGAGGGCACAGAAACAAATAGCTGCATGAGTAGAAAAATATCAAATCTGATTTTTATTGTTGAGTTGAGAAGAGAGAAATAGAGAGAGAAACAGCATTCTAGATTTAGTAGTTAGTTTTATACGTTGTTGTTGGGTGCCATCAAGTCGATTCCAGCTCATAGCGAACCTATAGGACAGAGTAGAATTGCTCCATAGGGTTTTCTTGGCTGTGATCTCTCTCTTTTTTAAATTTTATTTATTTTGTTGTTGTTGTTGAGAATATACACAGCAAAATATGCACCAATTCAGCAGTTTCTACATGTACCATATAGTGTCATTGATTACATTCTTCGAGTTGTGAAACCGTTCCTGCCCTCCTTTTCTGAGTTGTACTTCCCCCATTAACATAAGTTCACTGCCTCCTAAGGTTCCTATCTAACCTTTCAAGTTACTGTTATCACTTTGATTCCATATAGATAGTTCTTCAAAGAGTGTAATGCTCAAGGCAGACATTCTTTACTAATTAAGCTAAACTACTGTTTAGTTTTAAGAAGACTTCAGGGGATATTTTTGGTTTCCGGTTTAAAGATTATCTCAGGGCAGTAGTTTCAGGGGTTTATCTAACCTCCATACCTCCAGAACGTCTAGATTCCATGAGAATTTGCAATTATATTTTGCATTTCTCCCCTTTTATCAAGATTCTTCTGTAGAATTTTGATCAAAATGTTCAGTAATGGTAGCTAGGCACTAACTGTTTCTGGTCCCATGGCAGAGGATGCAGTTGTTCATGGAGGTAATTAGTTATACATTCCATATTCTCATTCTTTTCCTGACCCTCCTTCTTCCTCTCTTGCTCCAGGTGAATGGAGACCAACTGTTGTGCCTTGGATGGCCACCAGGCATTAGGCAATGAACTAGGAGGTAGAACACAAGTACTAAATATGTTATTAGGCCAATTAACTGGGATGTCCCATAAAACTATGATCCTAAACCTCCAAACCAAGGAACCAAATCCCATGAGGTGTTTAGTTGTACATAAGCAGCCTCAGTATCTTCTCTTTCTTTTCCTTATTATTATTTTTTAAAAATAATATTTTATTGTGTTCTAGGTGAAAGTTTACACAGCAAATTAGGTTCCCCTTTAACAGTTTATACAAATTGTTCCATGCCATTGGTTACAATTTTTACATTGTGTCCGCATTCTCATTATTTCCATTCTGTTTGTTCTGTCTCATTGATCTAGCTTCCCTTCCCCTTCTTGCTGTCTCGTCTTTGCTTTTGGGTTACTTTTGACTGTTTGGGCTCATGTAGTTAATTGTTTAAGGGAGCACATTACTTATGAGTGATAGTATTTATTTTATAAGCCAATCTATTGTTTGGCTGAAATAGCTTCAATTATAAGTTCAAAGGGTACCTTAGGGCTATAGTTTCCGGGTTCTTCTAGTCTATATCAGTCCAGTAGATCTGGCCTTTTTTAGGAATTTGGGTTTTGTTCTACATTTTTCTCCTATTGGGACCTTCTATTTTGTCCCTGGTCGGAATGGTAGGTAGTGGTAGCCAGACGCCATCTAGCTCTTCTGGTCTCAGGCTTGAAAAGGTTGTGGTTTGTGTTTGTCATGGATTGAATTGTGTCCCTTACAAATATGTGTCAACTTGGCTAGATTACGTTTCCCAGTATTGTGTGATTATTCACCATTTTGTGATCTGATGTGATTTTCCTATGTATTGTAAATCCTACCTCTATGACGTTAATGAGGCAGGACTGGAGGCAGTTGTATTAATGAGGAAGGACTCAGTCTACAAAATTAGATTGTATTTTAAGTCAATCTCTTTTGAGATATAAAAGCGAGAAGCGAGCAGAGAGATGGGGGACCTCATACCACCAAGAAACAACAGCCAGGAGAATAGAGCATCCTTTGAATCCTGGGTCCTTGAACTGAGAAGCACCTCAGCTGGGGAAGATTGATGACAAGGACCTTCCCCCAGAGCTGACAGAGAGAAAGCCTTCACCTAGAGCTGGCACCCTGAATTCAGGCTTCTAGCCTCCTAGACTGTGAAAGAATAAATTTCTCTTTATTAAAGCCATCCACTTTTGGTATTCCTGTTATAGCAGCACTAGATAACTAAGACAGTGTTACTCTTTGTTGTTGTTGTAAATATATCTTATCACACAACTTCTGCCAATTCAACTTTTTACAGTTGTACAATTTATCTATACAGTAATCAGCTGTGCAACCTACCCTTAATCAATGCGATATTTGCATTACTTTTAACCTCCCTTTTTCCCCTCCTTCCTGCCCCTGGTAACCACTAATAAACTTTGGTCTCTGTACATTTGCCTTTTTATGTAAGTGAGGTCATACAATATTTATCCTTTTGTGATTGACTGATTTCGTTCAGTATTCCATTGTATGTATGTACCACGTTTTGTTTATCCAGTCATCTCTTGATGGCTATTTAGGTTGTTTTTACCTTTTGGCTATTGTGAATAGTGCTGCAAGGCACATTGGTGTACAAGTCTCTGTTTGAGTGTCTGCTTTCAAGTCTTTTGGGTATATACCTAGGAGTGGAATTGCTGCATCATGTTGTAGTTCTATTTTTAATTTTTTTAAGAACTGCCACACTGCTTACCGCAATACCTGTATCAAGGCTAAGGGTTCCAGTTTCCCCACATCTTTGCCAACATATTTTCTGTTTTTTTTTTTTTAAATCTTAGCATCCTAGTGGGAGTGAAATGGCATCTCATTGTGGTTTCTATTTTTATCTCTCTTGATGGGTAATGATGCTGAGCTTCTTTTCTTGTGTTTGCTGGCCATTTGAATGTCCTCTTTGGTGAAATGTCTATTTGAGTCCTTTGCCCACTTTATGATTGGGTAATTTGTCGTTAAGTTGTCAGAATTTTATACATATTTTGGTTATTAGTTTTTTGTTGGATATATGGTTTCCGAAGATACTCTCCCAATTGGTAGCTTGTCTTTTTACTTTTTTGGTAAAGTCTTTTGATGAACAAAAGTTTTTAATTTTTATGAGGTCTCATTTATGTATGTATGTATGTATGTATTTATGTATGTTTGTATGTGTGTATGTATGTCTTTTGCTGTTTGTGCTTTTGTTATTATGTTAGATAATTCCTTGTTAAAAGCTAGGCCTGACAGTGTTATCCCTGCTTTTTCTACTAAGAATTTTATGGTTTTAGTTTGCATGGTTAGATCCTTAATTCACTTTGAATTTGTTTTTGTGTATGTTGTGAGGCATGGATCCTGTTTCATTTTCCTGCATGTGGAAATCCAATTTTCCCAGTGCTGTTTATTGAAGAGGCTCCTCTTTCCCCACCAAATGGACTTAGCACTCTTGTCAAAAATCAGTGGATCATAGATGTGTGGGTTTATTTCTGGACTCTCAATTCTGTTCCATTGGTGTATGTGTCTACTGTTATACCAGTACCAGGCTGTTTTGATTACTGTAGCTGTATAGTAGTTTTAAAATCAGGAAGAGTGAGTCCTTCTACTTTGTTCTTTTTCAACATTGCTTTAGCTATTCAAGGCCTATTGCCATTTCATATAAAGTTGTGGATTGATTTTTCTATTTCTGTAAAGAAAGCTGTTGGAATTTTGATCAGGATTGTGTTGAATCTGGATAATTTTGGGCAGTAGTGACATCTTAACAGTATTAAATCTTCTAATCCATGAACATGTAATATCTTTCCGTTTTGGCTGTAATCTTTATGGAAACAGATCAGCAGATCTTTTACCTGCAGAGCTGCTGCGTGGGTTAGAACTGTCAGCCTTTCAGTTATTAGACTTTCTCTTTAATACATAGCACTTGTCAGCACTGGGGTGGCTCGTGCATTAAGCAGGCTGAACAAGCATGGAGCATAGCACCACTTAGTTCCTTAATGGTTAATGTGACAGTGACTTTCACCCTGAGCTTGGGATGAAGGTCACTTTTGAGTTCTAGGTTCCTGAGCTATGTTTTATAAACAGGTGAGAAAGTTCACAAAGTATTAATTCCAGAGATACAAGCTTAGCCTTTATTATTTGTAAGACTGTCAAGTAATTCATGGAACTGGGCTGGGTAGATTATTTAGATGATCATGTAAGCTCACCAGGATTTTTTAGGGTATTTTTTGTCATGCTACTGAATGCTTTTATTGGTGCTTTATTTTATAGTTTTTTTAGCAGGATTTGTTATAGGGATATCATCTGATGAGAGAGATTATCATTCTGATCTGAGTTGCTTATTATTATCATCTCTACCAATAGAGAAAACTTCGAGAGGTATCCACAAAATTCCAGCTCTTCCAGAAGCCTGCTAACTTTGAGCAGCGCATGCTTGACTGCAAGCGAGTGCTGGATGGGGTGAAAGCAGAACTGCACGTTCTGGACGTGAAGGATGTGGACCCCGATGTCATACAGACCCACCTGGACAAGTGCATGGTGAGGTTGTGGGTGGTTAGCATGTCCTGGGTATTTCTCAGCAGCCAAATCTGTGGCTAAGTCTAGTAGTTTTATACATGGGTTTGTTCAATGATTGTTAGTCTACAGTGTCCTAAACACAGGGATTGATTTTGGGAAAACAGGTTAAAAATAAGAAGTGGTCCTTCCCCACAAGCAACTTAGAAGAGATAGGAGAAATCCAAACCAAAGCAAACCAGTTGCTGTTGAGCCGATTCCAACTTACGGCGACCCCATGTGCGTCAGAGTAGAAGTGTGCTCCATAAGGTTTTCAATGGGTGATTTTTTGGAAGTAGATCACTATACTTTTCTTCTCAGGTGCCTCTGGGCGGACATAGACCTTCAACTTTTTGGTTAGTAGCTGAGCATTTAACCGCTTACACCACTGAGTGTAATGAGATAAGGGAACTAGAATAGACATGTATACAAGATGAGTAAGGAAAAAAACAAAACAACGAAACAAAGGAAGCTGACCTTAATCACAGTGTCAGGTCAGGAGACGGCCTCTTGCAGGAGATGACTGATGAGTTCAGCTTTAGAGGATAAATTTGAGTTAGCTAGAAGAAGCATACTCACAATGGATATCAGGAATATTACAGAGTAAAAAAAAAACCAGTCCCTAGAAAGTAAAATTTTAACTTCTGATTTATAAACTTTAAAGCTAAGATATGAAAGAATAAATTATATATAAGGCCTTATTACTATTTTATTCTTGACCTTATAATCCAGTTGAATAGAAAGTTAATGTGGCTAGGAGGACACAGTCTTCGAATTAGTGTTCTGCTTGAGAATCATGAAGAAACAAGTTGACACTCGTGTGTATTTGATTAGAACAATAGAAGTCTAGTAAGAGTTCTCTCTGTTTTTCAAAACTGCAGTTGCCACGTGTCTGTTATTTACATATTGAGGGCCATTTGATTACTCAAAAGCTGGAATGGAAGGAAGGGTGCACAAATAAATTTTTAATGTGTATGTATGAGTTGAAATCGACTCTATGGCAACGGGTTTGGTTTTTTGGTTTATATGTAAAAGGAGCCCTGGTGGTGCAGTGGTTAAAGTGCTCAACTGCTAACCACGAGGTCGGCAGTTTGAAAACACCAGTGACTCTGAGGGAGAAAGATGTGACAGTTGACTTCCATAAAGCTTTACAGCCTTGGAAACCCTATACAGTCGCTGTGAGTCAGAATTGACTCAACAGTGGTGGCTTTGAGTATTTTTTTTTTTTTTTTGGTTTATGTGTGTGTGTGTGTGTGTATATGTATGTATATATATGCATGTATTTATTGCATATATTTACTGGTGTATAATAGTAAACAAAGCAAACACTGTCCTTGACCTTGTGTAACTTTGTCGAAATCAACCAAAAAACCAAACCCACTGCTGTCACTTCACTTGTGACTCATAGCGACCCTACAGGATAGAGTAAAACAGCCCCATAGGGTTTGCAAGGCTGTAAATCTTTTCAGAAGCTGACTGATACATCTTTCTCCTGCGGAGCAGATGTTGGGTTTGAACTACCGACCTTTTAGTTAGCAGCCGAATGCTTTTTTTTTTTTAATGGTATATTCTGGGAAATGAAGATGTGCGTACCTGATACAAAGATGGGGTTGTGTATTTGCACAGGGAGTGGGAGAATTGTATTTATACGTTCTGGAGGCATGTTGATGTGGTTAAGCAGCTGAGTGCTTTAACCACTGTACCATCAGGGCTGCTAACTTAGTCTAGTGGTTTATTATAGGACATTGCCATGTAAAATGTTTCAGGTTGAGATCATGATGTATAGAGACAAGAGAACCTGGCCAGAATAAAGCTTTTTGGTCTCAAGGTACCTAGTAAAAGGATCCCTGGTGGCTCAGTGGGTAAGCATTTGACTGCTAACTGAAAGGTCGGTGATATGAACGCACCAGCTGCTCTGCAAGAGAAAGATATGGTGGTCTGTTTCCATAAAGATTACAGCCTTGGAAGCCAAAAACCAAACCCGTCGAGTGGATTCTGACTCCTAGCAACCCTATAGGACAGAGTAGAACTGTCCTGTAGGGTTTCTAAGGAGCGCCTGGTGGATTGCAACTGCTGACCTTTCGGTTAGCAGCAATAGCTCTTAACCACTATGCCACCAGGGTTTCCTGGAAGCCTTATAGGGCAGTTCTGCTTTGTCCTAGAGGATTGTTAGGAGTCAGAATCAACTCACCAGCAATGGTAGTATTAGAACAGTTCTGAATTTGACCTACAGAATTCTGATTTCTTATTGTCCTATACATCTTGATATATTTTTTAATTATATAACTAATACAAGCCTGTTGTGGTGGACTTGGTACTGCAGAGAAATATAATGAAAAAATAAATATTAATAATTTAGAGGTCCAGTAGCCAGAAATAGCTAGTGTTGGCTTTTTTTCTAGTCCTAGCATTTAGGATTTTTAAAAATACGATTTTAAACGTGGTAAACATTTCAATTTTTAGTTGTAATATTTTTCCATTTTATGAAGGAAAAATGTTTACATTATCAAGTGCTTTCATAAGTATTTAAAACAAGATTCCAGGTTTTTTTTTAAAAAAGCATTATCTCATTAGTCTATTCTTTTCTTATCTGACTTTAAAAGTATGTTATGACCTTGATTTCATTTTACTGAACAATTAATTGAACCAAATCTGAAAAAGATAATGCACTTTGATTTCATAGTTATTTCTTCATTGTCAATCTGAAATGCTTCCAGTTAGTAAATTTTCAGTCCCTGGGTGGTACAAATGGTTAACGTGCTTGGCTGCTAACTGAAAGATGGGTGCTGGCGATCTGCTTCCGTAAGATCACAGCTATCGAAAACCCTATGGGGCACAGTTCTACTCTGACACACATGGGGTCACCATGAGTCAGAATTGACTTGAGGGCAACTGGTTTAGTAAGTTTTATTACTACAGTATATATTTTGTCTTGTTTTATCTTTAAGAAACTCTATAAAACTTTGAGTGAAGTCAAGCTTGAAGTGGAGACAGTGATCAAAACAGGAAGGCACATTGTCCAGAAGCAACAAACTGATAATCCCAAAGGGATGGATGAGCAACTGACTTCTCTGAAGGTTCTCTACAATGACTTGGGTGCCCAGGTGAGGAGGATAACCCCAGTGTCCTTCTCTTTCTGTGTCTCTCTCTCTCTCGTTTGTTCATTCTCCCTGTCTCTCTCTCATTTATGTAATTTTAAAATTTCATTTTTTAGACAATGCATATTTAAATTTTATGACATTAATATGTGTTTTAAATAATTCCCATAATTTTTATAGTTTTCAATGGACACTGACATTTAATAAGTTATTCTAGGAAAACTCTGCAAGTAATAGGCTCTGTATAAACTCAAGTTATTGGTTCTTGGATTTCTAAATGTAATAGTCTACTGAGAAATGTTAAGATGTCAGGACTCTAATAAATATTAAATAACAGGATGTTCCTATTAATCTACCAGGATTTAAAATCCTTCCAAGAAACATTGACAATTTGGGCATTCTAGCAAATCCATGGAGGAGTTGTGAGGCCATTTACTGTGAGTGACTGAGTGGATTCAACAGACTAATGTCTTCTCTCATTGAGAATCTTTGCCTTGAAGCCAGGAAAGCAAAAGGATGTGTGGAACTGAAATGTTTTTGGCAATATTGAAAAATGATGTTAGGTGATGTTTTGAATCTTTTTTGGGTTATTAAATATTAGTAACTTTCAGTTGAAGTGAAATTGAAGTTTCTACGTAAGTCTGGAGGAAACTAGCTGATATTTTATCACTTTCAAATCAGTAAGAATAAACAGTTCGTATATTTTCTAGACAATTTTGACCTCATTTTTGCAAGATTATGGTTGTTGGTGTGATATATTTTGTTACATTGCATGTCTGGAACACACATCATAGCGCTTCTTTTTGATATTTTACAGCTAAAGTTATTTATTAAATATTATTTATTCATTGACTGGGCATTTATTTATTAAATATTATTATATTTATTCATTGACTGGGCATTTTGTGGATGGAATGGCATCGCTGGCTTTTCCACTCATTTTTCAATTGTGACTATGGTTTTAGTGTTGATTAATTTGTTTATTTGGCACAATTGAGACTTTACCAGGAGTTATACCAGGCAGAAAGGATATTGTGGTGAGCAAAAACATAAATTATCTCTTCTCCTTGTGAAGAGTAGTGAAAGAGAAAAACATTGATCAAGTAGTCTACACAGAGTCATGCCAGATTATAAGTGTGAAGTGTTGTAAAGGAAAGTATGGGGTGATTTAGGAGTATGTGTAACAGGGGGCTTTGGTAGAGTATGGAACTAGGAAGCCTTCCTTAAGAAGATGATGCTTGAGCTAAGATCTGAAGGATGTAACCTGGGTGAGGAACCTGGGTGAAGCCAGAGGAAAAACTTTTGAGGCTGATGGAACAGCATGTGTAAAGGCCCTGTGGTAGGAGGCGGCATGGCACCTTTGTGTAGCTAGAACAGAGAGCAAGTGTGGGGAACATGGCATTGGAGACATAGGATGAAACAAGACCCTGCCAGGGTCTTAAGATTTTAATCTCTATTTTAAGAGCAGTAAGCAGTTATGGCAAAGTATTAACTGGGAGATAACATGCTCAGATCATTCACTGCAGTTTGAAGGGTGGATTGCAGGGAGGTAAGAGTAGGTGTGGAGAGACCAGTTAGGAAGTCATTGTACTCTTGGTGAGAGATAATGATGGCTTGAACTAGGGTGGAGCAGTGGAGATGGAATGAACTGGATGGAGTTTAGACATATTTAGGAAGTGAAATCAGTAGGACTTGGTGATTGGTTATGGTGGTACAGAAGAGGGAGAGATCAAGGTTGACTTCTGGGTTTCTGACTTGCTTACCTGGTGATTGTTGTGTTATCGATGGAATAGGCACGTGGAAGGAAAGGCAGGAACATGGAGAAATCATAAGGTAGTATTGGTCATGTTGATATTTTAGGTGTCTTTGAGTTAATTGGATATATAAAGTATTCCATTATTTAGGTATGGAGAATATTTTGGGGCAGAAGATCTGAATATTATGAGTCATCTGCATAGAGGTGGCAGTTTAAAGTTTTCATTGTTGATGAGGTTGCCTAGGACAAGGGCATAGTGCAAAAAGAATACCCTGGACCAAGTATTCAGGAATTACATCATTTAGCAATAAATTTGAGGAGATGAGCTTTCAAAAGAAACTAAAATAAGAGTTGCAAGAGGTGGTAGGCAAACCAGGAGAGTGCTTACGGCCAGGAGGCCAGGGAAAGAGAGTATTTCAAGGTTGAGTGTAGTCACCTGTTTGAGTGTATTTAAAAGGTAAATATGGTGCCCATTAAAAATGTCCATAAGATCTGTTGCTGTCAAGGTCATTTATTGACCTTGGCAAAGTCAATTTACGTGGAATAGTATGAGTGGAAGCCAGAATGGCTTTAGGGGAGGTGGGGCTAAAGAAAAAAAAGTAATTTATTTTGAGTGTGAGAGACTTCAGTATGTTTAATACCTGATAGGAATAATTCAGTTGAGAGGGAAAGGTTGAATATTCAAGAAGTAGAGGAGATAAATGGCTAGGTACAAGATTTAAAACTTGCTACTGCCTAATTCAATATGCAGTACATCTTATATATTGATTGGACTGAGAAAAGTATAAACTGTTATAAATTGAACTGTAAATAATTTTCTTCATGGTATATACAAATCTTTGGTAGCATGAAATTTTGTGATAATTGCAAGCTGCCTGGGCTTGTCAAAGTCAGATAAATATCATTTGGTTATGTAACTATCTTTTAATATAATTCAATTATTTGTCTCCAATTAATTGCAATGGGGTGCTATTAATTTAGGGTTATGAATTTTAATTAAACTCTGTAGACAAAATAATTCAGTTTTAAGGACTTTAATAAAATTAATCCTTGATGTATGAAAGAGAAAAATTGAACCTTAGGGAACCAGAAAAAAAGAAATGTAATCTATGTCACTTATTAGTAAAGTTCAGTCTTTGTATCATTGTCTAAAGCTGAGAAAATTTCACCCCATCTATGATTTATCAGTTTAATACTTGATACTGCCTATACATATGTGCACGTAAAAGAACTCATTTTTTTAAATGTATTTTGTTGTGATATCCTTTATTTTTTTTAATAATTTATTGTGTTTTAGGTGTAAGTTTACATAGCAAATTAGTTTCCCATTCAACAATTCATACATAAATTGTTCCATGACAGTGGTTGCTGCTATCCCTGCAATGTGTTAGCACTCTCCTCATTTCCCCTCTGCCTTCCCTGTTTCCATCCCTCCAGTTTCCCTGGCCCTCCTTGCCTTCTCATCTTTGCTTTTGGGCAAATGTTGCCCCTTTGGTCTCCTGTAGTTGATTGTTCTAGGGAGCACATTCCTCACGGGTGTTATTGTTTATTTTATAGGCCAATCTATTATTTGGCTAAAAGGTGACCTCCGGGAGTGGCTTCAGTTCCAGATTGAAAGAATGTCTTAGGGCAATAGTCTCAGGGGTTCCTCTTGTCTCTATCAGTCCAGTAAGTCTGGTCTTTTTTATGAATTTGAGTTTTGTTTTACATTTTTCTCCAGTTCTAACCCTGGGACCTTCTATTGTGTCTCTGGTTAGAGCGGCTGGTAGTGATAGCTGGGCACCATCTAGTTCTTCTGGTCTTGGGCTAGAGGAGGCTGAGGTTCACGTGGGCCATTAGTCTTGTGGACTCATTGCTTCCTTGAGTCTTTCATTTCCTTCACTCTCCTTTGCTCCAGATGGAAGGACCAATAGTTGTATCTTGGATGGCCGCTCACAAGATTTTAAAACCCCAGACACTACTCGCCAAACTAGGATGTAGAACATTATTTATTATCTTTATGAACTATGTTATGCCAGTTGACCTAGATGTCCCCCAAGACTATGGATCTTAGCCTTCAGCTCAGTCCCACAAGGTGTTTGGATATGTCTCAGAAGTTTCCATAACTGTGCCCCCATGTGCTCTATTATATATATGAATCTATATGCAGCACATACAAATATGTATATTCAGATGCCCGCAGCTCTACTTATATATGCACATGCATGTACTCCCATACCCCCTCCCACGCCTATATAGCATACATATGTACCTATGTAACCACTCACAAATTTTTGGTTATTACCGTTGTTACAGAATTGTATGTTATAGCATTTACTGTAGTTGTCCTTTATTGTTGTGTATGACTCAACGTCTTCATTTACCTTTGTTATATTGTGCTTACTTCCTCCATATTGTATATTACCTTTCCCTTCACCAGAATTAATACGTGTCTACTCTCTAGTAAATGATTCTCCCTCCCTCCCCCTCCCATCCCTGGTAACCATCAAAGAGTGTTGCTTTCTGTGTGTGAACCTATTCTTCACTTTTTATAAAAGTGGTATCATACAATATTTGTCCTTTTGTGATTGACTTATTTCATTCACTCACTCAGCATCATGATGTCCTCCAGGTTCATCCACGTTATAAGATGTTTCGCTGACTCATTTACTATTCTTTATCGTTGTGCAGCATTCCATTGTGTGCATGTACCACAGTTTGTTTATCCATTCATCCATTGATGGACGCTTAGATTGTTTCCGTCTTTTTGCTATTGTGACTAATGCTGCAGTGAACATGGGTGTGCATATGTCTGTTCGTGTCACTGCTCTGACCTCTCTAGGATATATACCTAGGAGTGGGATTGCTGGATCATGTGGTATTTCTGTTTCTAGCGTTTTGAGGAAGCACCATACCATTTTCCATAGTGGTTGTTGTGATATCTTTCACAGTGTATCTCAGGTTTGCATTGTGAATGGTTGGTAGTTTGAGTGGCATCCTCATGTGATGTAAAGAGCCTGGCCATGCACAATCCATGGCTGGGCCGCTCTGGCCATGGCCTTAACCTCTAGGCTTCGTTGTGTTGATCCATGAAGTAGAAAGAATAGTGCCTCACAGAGCTGTGTAGGTTTCATTGCATTACATTTATAAAATTCCTTGACACTATATGGGAAATGTATTAAGAGTTTGATAAAGGTTAGATCAGTTCACTTTTTTCTTCTGTCAATAACAATAAGAAAAACATAATAATAAAGGTTTATGTTTTATAATCATTTACTATATCTTAAGTGGCTAATTGTAAAACGTGTAATTGTGAAAATAGTACTGTTTCTATCTTAGGTTGCTAGAAAATAGTGTGTGGGTGAGTATTTTAAAGAATCCTTCATTGAAAAGATTGTAAGGCATCTTCTATTTAAAATAATAACAGATACTGTTTACTGATCATTTAACTTTGTTTCAAGGACTGGGCCAAGACATTTGTATGTATATTTTTCTTATTTAATACTCAGAACAAACTTTTAAGGGCAATACCTTTACCAAGGTCACTAGTTGTTGTTGTTAGGTGCCGTTGCGTCAGTTCTGACTCATAGAGACCCTGTGTACAGCTGAACGAAATACTGCCTGGTCCTGCACCGTCCTCATGATTGTTGCTATGCTTGAGCCCATTGTTGCAGCCACTGTGTCAATCCATCTCGTTGATGGTCTTCCTCTTTTTTGACTGACCATCTATTCTACCAAGCATGCTGTCTTTCTCCAGGGAGAAAGTGTCACTTAGAGGAAGGTCATGTAGAGAAAATAACTGGTAGAGCTAAGGTTAAAAGCTAGTATTGCCTGATGTTTAACTGCTACAGTATATTGCAAAAATGCAAGAGTGGAGTAATTCTAAGGTGCCAGAGATAAAAGTTATTATGTATGTTGTGGTTGTTGTTGGGTGCCATTGAGTTGATTTTCCATTCGCAGCAATCCCTGATGACAGAATAGAGCTGCCTCATAGGGTTAAATCTGCTGTAATCTTTAAGGGAGCGGATGGCCAAGTCTTTATCCTGTGGAGCTGCTGGGTGGGTTTGAACTGCCAACCTTTCAGTTAGCAGCTGAGTGCTTAACAGTTGTGCCCTCCCACCCCCCGGGGCTTCTTTATCGTGTATATATTGGAGGTTAAATATGAAACAGTTTGGGTCTTTAGCTAATATTCTGATTCATTCCCATTCATGTCCCACCCCCTTACTCTCACTCTCTCTCCTTTTCAGGTTACAGAGGGTAAACAAGATCTGGAAAGAGCATCACAGTTGGCCCGGAAGATGAAGAAAGAGTCTGCTTCTCTCTCTGACTGGCTTTCTGTTACAGAAGCTGAGCTGGTACAGAAATCCACTTCAGAAGGTTTGCTTTGTGACTTGGATACAGAAATTTCCTGGGCTAAAGTAAGTTACAGTTCTGGTGAACCACCAACATTGTGCCAGTGTTACCTGTGGCATTTCTTCAAGGCAATCTGGGTAGATGTCATTTCCCTCCATTTCATATTAAATGTAGGCTTTTCTTTTTTCCATTTTCCTTTGTAACCCTAAGAAAGAAGAATTTTTTTTTTAAAACAACCATTTTAGCAAGATATTTTATCTTGATTCCAAAAGTGTTAAATTCACGTAGATAATCAAGGCCTTTATAGAGGTTATGCCTATGTGGTACTCGAAAACATTACAATTACTGCCTTCAAATCAATAACTTTTTTTAAAAAAAACTTCATCCCAAGAGTTAGTGTGTGAAGTACAGTTTAACCCATGGAAATTTGTCTGAAAAAATTGAACTGTGTAGAAAGCCATTATCCCACTATTTTCCATCTGTTGGAAATCTGAACCGCACGTTGCCTGGGATAAAAGAGAAAGCCGTGTTTCCTCTCCCACGTGAGTGTCACAGCAGTACAAAGGTATCCTTCGCTAGGCAACAGTGGTCTGCAGACAATCATTAAGCCTTTTCTTTTCTTCTTCTGAGAGCACAGTCATCTGCATGTAGTCATTGTCAGATGTAAGAAGAAAAATGGGGTTTGGTTAACTATTTATTTATGTTTGTTGAGAATATATACAGCAGAATATACACCAGTTAAACAATTTCTGCAGGTACAATGAGTGACATTGATTACATTCTTGGAGCTGTACAGCCGTTCTCACCCTCCTTTTCTGAGTTGTTCCTCCACTGTTAACGTAAACTCACCACCTTCTAAGTTTCCTGTCTGATCTTTCTAGTTGCTGTTGTCAGTCTGATCCGATGTAGATAGATCTTAAAAGAGCACAATGCTCAAGGCAGGCATTCTTTATTAGTTAAGCTAAAGTATTGTTTGGTTTAAAGAAGATTTCAGGGATATTTTTGTTTTAAGATTTAAAGATTATCTCAGGGCAGTAGTTCCAGGGGTTCATCCAGTCTTCACGGCTCTAGAAAGTCTGGAGTCCGTGAGAATTTGCAATCCTGTTCTGCATTTCCCCTCTTTTTTTAATCACGATTCTTCTATAGAATCTTTGATCAAAATGTTCGGTAACGGTAGCTGGACACCATCAGTTCTTCTGGTCTCATGGCAAAGGAGATATTTGTTCATGGAGGCAATTAGCCACACATTCCATTTCCTCCTCGTATTCCTGACTCTGCTTCTTCCTCTGTTGCTCCAGGTGAATAGAGACTAATTGTTGTACCCTGAATGTCTGCTTGCAAACTTTTAATACCACAGGCACTATGAAACAAACTAGGAGGTAGAACAGAAGCACTGAACCCATTATTAAGCCAATTAACAGGGATGTCCCATGAAACCATGACCCTAAACCTCCAAAATAAGGAACCAAGTCCCATAAAATATTTGGTGGTACATAAGCAGCCTCAGCGGCTACTCTTTTCGTTGTTGTTGTTTTCAGTGTATCTGTCACACAGGGGTTTGATTAATTTTTTTGTGAACATCTTATTGTAGTTTGGGTGAAAGTTTACAGAACAAATTAGTTTCCCATTTAACGGTTTATACACATTTTGTTTCATGACATTAGTTGCAATCCCCTTAACGTGATAGCACTCTACCCACTTTCTTCCTGAGCACCCCATTTCCATTTGCCCAGCTTTCCTGCCCCTTTCTGCCTTCTGAACTTTGTTTTTGGGCAGATGCCGCCCTTTTGGTCTCCTGTGATTGATGGATATATCCATTTTAAAGTTTTACACATATTATGAAGCTGTCCTTCAGAAATGTTGTACCCACCAGCTTTGCGAACGAGAATTGCCACTTAGTTGTTTTAACCACGGCTTTGACAATGGTAGGCAAATATGTTTTGGTTATATAATTAGAACATTTTGCATACATTTATAGGCCAGTGTAGTTCTCTTTTTATAACTGCCTTTTCCTATTGTTCTGCCCATTTTTCTGTCACCAGTTCAGTCTTTTAATTTTAGAGCTGTTTTTCAGTTACAATTATTAATGCTTAGTGTGTTACATATTGTTGTAAATCTTTTTTTGCTACTGTAAGTTCTTTTCTGTTCTATATTTTTTGTAAGCACTGTTACTGTATATTTTTTGAAGAATAAAATCCATCTTTTTCTTCATTATTTCTGCCTTTAGTGCTTGGAAAAGCCAAGTGTGCTCCAAGATTACATAATTATTTACTTATATTTTCTTCTAGTCTTTATATTTTCATCTTTTTTACCTTTAATGCTTTAATCCTTCTGGGATTAATTTTCGTGTTTGTCATGAGGTAAGGCTCTAACCTTTTTTTCCAAATAGTTAACCAGTTATCTCAGCATTGTTTATTGAGTAATCGGTCCTTACCCCACTGTTTTGACATGTGAAATCCATATATTCTTATTTACCTTTTGCTTTCCTTTGGTTTCTTTTACACTGATCTGACCTTCTTAAATGTACCAGTTCGTCAACTGTTTGTTCAATGTAACTTTACAATGCATTTTAACATGTAGTTAATGGGTTCTGTGTTTTTACACTTCTTTTTTAATACACACTTTTATATGAGCTTTCTCAAGTTCTTAAAAAAATTCTGTTGGAAATTTTTATTTGAATTGCCTTAAATTTATAGATTTGTTTTGAGGGGAATTGACACCTTTATTATATCAAGTCTTTTTAGTCATATGGTATGTTTTTTATTTCCCCCAAATTCTTTTACATCCTTACTTAATGTTTTGTTTTTTTTCTTCAAGAATGTTGTGTAGATATGCGATGAAATTTATTCTTACATGTTTATTTTGTTTTTATTGCTATATGAGGAGTGTTTTTGTTTATTTTCTTTTTTTTGCCAATTCCTTATATCTAGTACGTAGATGACATTGATTTTTGTATATTTAATTTTAATGAACCATCTTTTGAACTCTTACTAATTTATTTAGTTTTTACTTGATTGTCATAATTTTTCAGGTAAAGAATGTAGATAAGGATAAATCTGTCTCTTCTGGAAAAAATACACTCTGAAATTTCCATTTAATCTTAATTCAGGTTTGAAATAATGAAGATGATATGTACAAATCACCAATTCACAGCACATTCTCTTCAGTAAAGTAAATTAAATGAAACATCAATATGTAGTATTATCACCCATCTTTTTAGCTTTGTGTATTCAGATTTAAGGAACATACATATTTCACAACAATTTTAAAGTGTTTTCTCTTAAAAATGATGTAAAATTATTTTTAGCATAAAACATGAATAGCGTTTTCATTCGCAAACTTAAATTGCATTTTATTCTATAGCTTAAATAGCATTATTTTCGGTGTAGTTATTTTCTGTACAATAAAATAAATTAGTATAGATAGTGTGTGTACTATTTCAATCTAATTACTTGTAGTTATTAAAGACTAAAACCAAACCAGTTACTGTCGAGTCAATTCCGACTCTGTATAGGACAGAGCAGAACTTCTCCATAGAATTTCTAAGGAGCGGCTGATGGATTTGAACTGCTAACCTTTTGATTAGCAGCCAAGCTCTTAACCACTGTGCCACCAGGGCTCCTATTAAAGACTAGTTAGTTGTTCAGTAAATAGCCTCTGAGGGAATATAGGATATCTTAGCTGCAGAGAACGTGGTTATGGGTATTCTATTTTTTCTTTTTCCTGCTGGAAAATAATACTTGAAAGAAATACTTTAGTGTCTTCATAAATATACCACTTATTGATATGTCCAAGTGAGGGTTTAAACCTGGACTTTCTTGTGAATTGGCCATTTTTTATACCTTCCAAAATGTAACTTAATGATGTGAGATTAAAAAAAAACTTGAGCTTCTTGAAATGATTGGCTTAAACGTTGGTTTTAAAAAGATACAGTAGAAGTATGTTGGATATGTGCATGCTGCTTTTGATTGAAAGAACTTTGTAGCTTTTATCATGGAACCTGATATTCCCTCTATAATTCTTTGACTATATGCCTGGTAAGGCTTCTGAATGTGTGGATAAGATTATGATCAAGCCATCAGAGTGTTATCTTTGCATATTAGGACAATTGTAAGACCGTAGCTTAGACATGATAGTTCTCCTATGACTTCCTAAAGATGAAATATTTCACATAATGTTTATCCAACAGATTATATGTTAAGTAACCTACTTACGGGATGTAACCCTTATAATTAAATATAGAATTTATCAGTAGTTCCTTCTTGTAATCTAGGAGATAAATTCTTAAGGAAGTTTTTTAGAATTGTGAGTTCTGTGATATTTCTACTTGGCTAGCTTTTAGGTACTGAAAATGAAATGGATTCTGGGGGGTGGGTGTGTATATGTGTAATAAATAGAATTTATACTTAAGACAAATGAAATAATTACCTTTCCCACGTTTGAGTTTGTTCCATTCTTTGGTATTTGTATAGTTAAAATTTTTAATTTTCATTAGGAATATAAGAACTCTACCCAAGTTAATAAGTTCTGGAGTTTTATAAATCCTTGACATATTGTAAGCCATCTAGGGAGTTACAAACTATTGTTCATGTGGAAGAAAAGTTAAAAAAATGAAGGTTGTATAATGAAAACTTATAATGAAATGTAAATGAAGCTTTTATAATGTTCTGTAAGATCAAGTAAGACTCTGTACTTTTATTTTCTAGAATGTCCTGAAGGATCTGGAAAAGAAAAAAGCTGATTTAAATACCATCACAGAGAGCAGTGCCGCCCTCCAGAACTTGATAGAGGGCAGTGAGACTATTTTAGAAGAGAAACTCTGTGTGCTCAACGCTGGGTGGAGCCGCGTTCGCACCTGGACTGAGGATTGGTGCAATACCTTAATGGTATGCTTCATGAAAAATTTAATGGTGCCGTCGTCCTCTTGCCTTTTAATTTTTAAAAGTAATATAGCTTTGATCAGAACTCCAAATCCTATTTTCTGTGTGTCAGGATAATTTCTTGCTTGTGAATTAATTTCCTCAGAATACATTTTGTTTTTCCTTTGAAAAGGTACTAACTAGAAAGAGCTCACAATGTCTTTATTATGGAATAAAATATTTATGATATACATAGAAATTTATACTTTAATATTTTAATTTCTGCTGCTCCAAATCCTTGCCAACATTTGGTGTTGTCAGTGTTTTCGATTTTAACCATTCTAATAGGTATGTAATGGTAACTCATTGCTGTTTAAATTTGCAATTTCCTAATGATATATGAAGGAGCATTGGTGGCACAGTGGTTAAGCGCTCGGCTGTTAACAGAAGGGTCGGCAGTTTGAACCCACCAGCCATTCCGTGGGAGAAAGATGTGGCAATCTGCTTTCATAAAGATCACAGCCTAGGAAACTCTATGGGGGCAGTTTTATTCTGTCCTGTAGGGTTGTTGTGAGTCGGAATCTAGTCAATGGCACACAATAACAATGACATATGATATTGAGCATCTTTTCATATGCTTATTGCCATCTGTATGTCTTCTTTGGTGAGGTGTCTGTTCAGATCTTTTGCCCATTTTCTAATTGGGTTGTGTGTTTTATTTTGTTGAGTTTTAAGGGTTCTTTGTATATTTTGGATAGAAGTCCTTTATCAGATACATGTTTTGCAAATATTTTCTCCTTGTCTGTTGCTTGTCTTCTCATTCGTCTATTTTAAAATTCTTTTTATATTTTAATTATTCTTTTTATGTTATTATTTCCTTGTATGAATTATTTTAAAATAATGATTGAAGAAAGGTAAATGAGATCATTTGAAATGTAAGAATTAAGAATAAGGGAGACAGACTTAAAATTGGAAAAAAAAATTTTTCATCTTGTATTATTCTCCAGCTTTTTCTTGTACTGAGTTTTAAATCAAATAGATTTTTAAAAATACTTACCTATAGCATTTTTAGGAATGAGATTTATTCACGGGGGAAGAGCTTTGCAGGGAGGTGAAAACCCTTCTTTATTTCAGCGTACAATTTTGCTCTTTCAAGGCCTTTTAAGTCTCTTCTGAGGTTATTGTCTTAAATATTTCATACGATTATATCAACATTTTATTAATTACTTTGTAGAACCATCAGAACCAGCTGGAAATATTTGATGGAAATGTTGCTCACATAAGTACCTGGCTTTATCAAGCTGAAGCTCTGTTGGACGAGATTGAAAAAAAACCAGCAAGTAAACGGGAAGAAATTGTGAAGGTAGCAAACATATTGTAATCAGTTACGCTACTGGGGAGGGAATGTTTTGCTGCAGTCTTTTGTGGATTCTCAGAGTTACGTGTGGATATGTTCTTTCCATGCAGCACATTGATTAACTTTTATTGTGGTGGGGAGAAACTGAGGTCTATATCGAGTCTTACGTGCACAGCTTGTACTCAAGCTGAATGTGCTGAAATCTCTTCATTGGGAATCCCAGACATTATTTAAAGCACTGTACCCATGTTTGGTTTTGATTTTTCCTCTGTGATAATTTGGTGTTTTCTTGCAACTAGCGGTTAATATCTGAGGTGGATGATGCTAATCTCCAAGTTGAAAACGTCCGCGACCAAGCCATTATTTTGATGAATGCCCGTGGAGGCTCAAGCAGAGAGCTCGTAGAACCAAAATTAGCTGAACTGAATAGAAACTTTGAAAAGGTGTCTCAACATATCAAAAGTGCAAAAGTGAGTAATTTTATTTTTATAGAAAACCATTTTCCTGTATATATGATAAATGGATGTATTGTATATACATCCAAATTTTTTAAATTAAAATTACAATCCCACCACATTTTCTTTGAATGGAATATTTGTCCTTGTTTATTATTGTGCATATAAACGAGTACAAACAAGAAATTTGTATGACAGGCAATAACCCATTTGACAAAAGGTTTCAGAGACTCAGCTGAATGTTAAAATTGACTATGGAATAATGAGACTAATTCCCAGCCTAGGCATGAGTATCAATCTCATAATCTTACAGTCGTACTTGAGTCAGAATTGACTCGACGGCAGTGGGTTATTTTATACATGTGTTCATGCCATGGCTATGGTAAACTTGATCTTCCTTTTTGGGTTTTATGTGATGACAAATTTAAAAGTCTCAATTTAGGCCTGATCCAGAAAGGGTTTTTCTGATTTTCTAAATTTTAAAAGGAGATTTATAAATTTAAATAAGAGGATAATAAGAGCTTTCTTTACCAAAAAAAGAACCCAAGTGTTGTTTGTGCTATTATATTATTTTTATCTGAATGGGTGTATGTAAATTTCTCATTCTCTCTCTTATTACCCTTGTTTCATGAGGGGAGAAAATGAAACATTTTTTGTTGTGTGCTCAAGGCGTGGCATATAGTGCGTGCTCAGCAAATGTTAAGTTGAAAAGATGAACACTGACGGTTTGCTGCAAAAAAGCGTAGCTGATTTTGGGCGTCATTTAAATGAGGTGTTTATTCTCACAGAGGGTTCTGAGTTTTTAAGAAGCCCAACTGTGCCCACAGGATGGCATTTTTTCAGTATTCAGTTAATCTAACCTCTAGAGAGTTGTGCATTGAACTTATTTATCCAGAAAGAGGGATCTTCTTTTTCTGAGAGGTAAATAATTGTCTAACCTTGCTTTAATTTGAAATATCTGATGTAATAGGCCAAACTTTCTTTTTCAGGCTATGACTCTACTTAGATTATTTATAAACTGAAGAAAACAAACAAAACTCTTACGTTAACTTTTGATTTCCTTAGCCTTGACCTTACCGCCTTACTTAAGCTCATTTCATTTATTTCAGTACCTTTATGGGAGGTTTTCCTTGGTGTAAAAAATAATGTGCAAGTCCCAGGCGTGGTGTGAGGGGAAGTGCAAAGAAACAGAATTACCATTGTCTCCATAAATGGACTCTGTTAACGTTTTGGCACATATGTCTCTTCTTATTTACCTGTATGTGATATTAAAGATATAAAAATTTCTACATGTTTGTATTTTCTCCTATGACATGGTTTTTAATGGCTATAGAACATTCCATTATGGGATTTGTTATAATTTCCTAAGTCAGTATTCCATTTTTATTGTGCTTTTGTAAGTAGTGCTTCCGTAAAATCTTTTTATCCATATCTTTATGCTCATTTCTTAATATGCCCTTAGGATCCTTTCTTAGAATTCCTTGAAGCGGTTGCAAAAGGTGGGCATATAAAGGTTGTTAAATAAGTATTATAAATAGCCCTACAGAAAGTTTGTGCCAGTTTATACTTCTATAGTGCGTGTGTGAGAGTGCTAGTTTTCCCACAATCCGTCAGCGCTGGAAAATATTTTCCTGCGTTTAGTTTTATTAAAATTGTTGCGTTGAGTTTTAGACACATAAAGTTGCTCTGTGTACACATTAACTGAGAAATATGTACTTCTGTGAAGTTTGGTGGGTGGTGCAAGTGGTTTGCAGTGGACTACCAACCTAAAGGCTGGTGGTTTGAACCCACTGAGTGGTGCCATGTAAGAAAGGCCTGGTGATCTGCTTCTGTAAAGATTATAGCCAAGAGAACCCTACAGAGTAGTTCTACTGTGTAACACATGGGGTCGCCATGAGTTGACATGTACTCGACAGCAATGCACTTGGTTTTTGATTTATGAAGTTTGCGCATCAAAATCCAAGGGACTTTCTTCTGGGAAAAGTTAAGCAAGGAGACATTCTGCAGTATGTGCCTTCACAGGTGGTGGCCAGTCTTCGTTTCTGCGGCAGTGATGGCTTTTGGATCATGGACTCATTTTCTGTTGTGCTCACGCGTGGTCTCAGAATCTTCCACGTGGCATTCCAGGCAGCTACATTCAGTTGAACACTACTCACATCCTTGGCTAGAGTCTGGAGAAAATGAGTAATTTAGAGAAGCTTAAATTGGTAAAATCGTTGCTATATGAGTACCTGAAATAAAATGAAATTCCAATAATTGCTGGTTCCTCTCTTGACACCTTACTCCTCTGACTATGATGGAAGATCAAGTTCAGAATATCTTTAAAGAGAACTCTTTTCCTTCTGCAGTTGCTAATTGACCAGGAACCATTATCATATCAATACTTGGTGGGCACAGAGGCATTTGAAGCTGGTCCACCTTCCTCTGACTTGGACAGATTAGAAAGTGACATACAGAATATGTTAAATATTGTGGAGAAACACTTGGAATCCAGTGATGGAGATGAAAAGGTTGGTTTAAGGAGATTCTCAGAACCATGGTGTTCTCATTTTTCTTTTCTGTGATTTTTTTTTTTACATCAATAATATTTGCCCAGATAATCTGCCAAACATGACAGAACAGATCCAAATGTAAATTTCTGATGACTGTCAATGTGAGATTTGCCAAGTGATTTATGTAATGCTTAAAAATATAAAATAAACATGCTCCCTCACTGAGTTAAGCCTTCATATCATCTGACTTCTGCTAAATTAGCCTTCCCATACAAATTAATTTAAAATGAAATATTTTAATAAAAACATGAATTTTTTTGTTGTATATCGTTTAGATGAACATATCTTGACTTATCCTGTACTTTGTAAGCTAGTCCTACTTGGGAACTGATAATGAGTGACCCTATACATTTTTCCTCTGAGTAAATTTTTTCCTTTTCAACATTCAGCTGGATGAGGAGAGAGCCCAGATTGAGGAAGTTCTTCAAAGAGGAGAACAAATGTTACATCAACCAATGGAGGATAGTACAAAAGAAAAGATCCGTTTGCAGTTAATACTTCTGCGCACAAGATACAACAAAGTTAAGGTATTGTCAGGGGAAGGTCTCTGTTGAATTTAGAGAACTTACTCTTGCCGTTCAGGTGTTCAGGGTTGCATTCATGGACACTTCAAAACAAACGAGTAGGAATGACATCTTCTTTTCCTTTCTAGTATGTATTACTGAAATACGTGTTTATATTTTTTTTGAAGGAGCAGGACTCAAAGAAAATAGAAACATAAATCCTTATTATTGGCTCATTGTCTTGCTTAAGATGGCAGGGGGAGGTTGTATCTGTACAATCTCATAGTTCACCTACTACTGTATTGGTATGTTGTTGTTTGGTGCTGTTGAATTGATTTTGACTCATAGGGACCCCATGTGACAGAGTAGAATTGCCCCATAGGGTTTTATAGGTTATAATCTTTATGGGAGCAGATTACCAGATCTTTTTCCTAAGGAGCCACTGGGTGGGTTCAAACTGCCAATGCTTTGTTTAGCAGCTGAGTGCTTCACTGTTGTGCCAGCAGGGGCTCCTTTGGCTATCTCTGGTGTCTCTAATTATGTACTAGACCTAGACAGGATCTGTCTCTTTCAGTAGGGACTTCCTCCTGCGGTCTGTACTCTTATATGTGGAAGTCTTGGCCACTTAAAAAAAAATTCTAGTTTATAAATATATTTGTGAAACTGATATACTGCGATTTATATTCTAGAAACAGATTCACTACCAACTGCCTTTTAAATGGCAGTCTCCCCAGCTGCAAGTGTGCTGGTGTTCCCCAGTGGTCTGTTCTTCAGTAATCCCTTCTAGAATCAGTTTTATTGGATGATGTTGGAACCTGAGTAAATGATCCCAGCGTCTTGGCTTGCTGCCTATTTGATGTCTGTATCTGTATGTACTGCGACCTTGTGATGTGTCTCAAGCTGTCCTTGCTGTCCTCTCCTGTTTCTGGATCTAGAAAAGTCCAAGCTCTTCCAGAGAGTTGATAAATATTCCATTCTGTTTAGGTCTAGTTTTTCCTGTGGTTTGATAAAAACAGAACGTAGAAAATTTTTATAAAATATCATTTAACATAAACTCTTTACATCTATCTGGAATTTAGTTTGGTATATGTCATGAGCTACATCATGTAATATTTGCTCTCTCATTTTGTACTAACCTGTAGTATATTTTGTATTTCCACGCCTTAGCAGTGTTCTTCAAAAATAAAATCCTCCAGAAGCAGAGTATGGGTCAGATCTCAGACATTTTGATTGATCACTGTCTTGGGAAAAAATCTATTTTGGGACTATAGAAAGCAGATGCTTAAATCTAGAACTGCCTTGCTGCTTCTGCAAGCGTATGGAGGCTCAGAAAAATCCTAGATTGTCTGTACTGTCTGAATAGAAAAAAAGAGAATCTTTATTTTATTTATTTATTTATTGTTGTAGTCTGAATGAAGCTTACATTTCAAGTTAGTCTCCCATACAAAAATTTATACATACATTGTTATGGGACCCTAATTGCTCTCCCTCTACTGTGACAGCACACTTTTCCTTTCTACCCTGATTCTCCATTGTCATGGTTTGAATTATGTCCCTCAAAAAATGTGTGTATCAGTTTGGCTGGGCCATGATTCCCAGAATTGCATGCTTGGCCTCCATTTTGTGGTTGTAATTTTATGTTAAAGAGGATTAGGGTGGGATTGTAACACCACCTCTACCCAGGTCATATCCCTCATTCAGTGTAAAGGTAGTTTCCATGGGGTGTGGCCTGCTCCACCTTTTATCTCTCAAGAGATAAAAGGAAAGGGAAGCGAGCAGGGAGTTGGGGACCTCGTACCATCAAGAAAGCAGTGCCGGAGCAGAGCGCGTCCTTTGGATGGGGGTCCTTGCACAGAGAAGCTCTTAGTCCGGGGGAACACTGAAGAGAAGAAGGCCAACAGAGAGAAAAAGCCTTCCCCTGGAGCTGACGCCCTGAATTTGGACTTTTAGCCTACTTTGACTGTGAGGAAGTAAACTTCTCTTGGTTAAAAGCATCCACTCGTGGTATTTCTGTTAGAGCAGCACTAGATGACTAAGACACCCATGTTCATTCATCCAGCTCCCAACCCTCTCTGCTTTCCCACCTCACCTCCGGACGGAAGCTGCCCAATTAGTCTCTTATATCTACTTGAGCTAAGAGGCACATTCCTCACGAGTATCACTTTATGTCCCACAGTCCAGTCCAATCCCTGTCTAAAAAGTTGGCCTCGGAAATTGTTTTAGTTCTGGGCTGATAGAGAATCCAGGGTCCATGATTTCCGGAGTACTTCCAGTCTTCGTCAGACTATTAAGTCTGGTCTTCTTACTAGAATTTCAGTTCTGCAGCCCACCTTTCTCCTCCATCAGGAACTCTCTGTTGTGTTCCCTGTCGGGGTAGTCACTGGCAGTAGCTGGGCACCATCTAGTTCTTCTGGTCTCAGACTGATGAAGTCTCTGGTTTATGTGGCCTTTTCTGTCCCTTGGGCTACTACTTTCCTTGTCTCTTTGGTATTCTTCATTCTCCTTTACTCCAGGTGGTTGGGACCAATTGATGCATCTTAGATGGCCGCTTGCAAGCTTTTAAAACCCCAGACGCCACTCACCGAAGTAGGATGCAGAACATTTTCTTAATAAGCTTTGTTATGCGAGTTGACCTAGATGTCTCCTGAAAGCATGGTCCCCAGATCCCTGCCCCTGCTACTCTGTCCCTCAAAGTGTTTGATTGTAGTCAGGGAACTTCTTAGCTTTGGTTTAGTCCAGTTGTGCTGACTGCTCCTGTAGTGTGTGCTGTCCTTCCCTTCACCTAAGATAGTACTTGTCTACTGTCTAGTTAGTGAATAACCTTCACCCTCCCTCCCCATCCTCATAACCATCAAAGAATGTTTTCTTCTGTGTTTAAACCTTTCTTGAGTTCTTATAATAGTGGTCTTATACAGTATTTTTCCTTCTGTGACTGACTAAATTCACTCAGCATAATGACCTCCAGCTTCTTCCATGTTATGTTTCACGGCTTCATTGTTGTTCTTTATTGTTGTGTAATATTCCATTGTGTAGATATACCATAATTTGTTTATCCATTCGTCTGTTGATAGGCACCGAGGTTGTTTCCATTTTTTTGCTATTGTGAACAGTGCTGCAGTGAACATGGGTGTGCATATATCTATTCATGTGATGGCTCTTATTTCTCTAGGATATATTCCAAAGAGCGGGATAGCTGGATTCTATGGCACTTCTATTTCTAGCTTTTTAGGGAAGCGCCAAATCGATTTCCAAAGAGGTTGTACCATTTTATGTTCCCACCAACAGTGTATAAGTATTCTAGTCTCTCCACATCCTCTCCAGCCTTTGTTATTTTGTGTTTTTTGGATTAATGCTAGCCTCGTTAGGGTGAGATGATATCTCATTATAGTTTTGGTCTGCATTTCTCTAATGGCTAATGATCATGAGCATTTCTTCATTTGTCTGTTAGCCGCCTGTGATGGTTAAGATTGTGTGTTATCTTGGCTGGGCCATGATTCTCAGTGTTTTAATGTGATCACTCCCGTGATTGAATATACTGTGCGTAGCCAATCAGATGAAAGGCAGTCTCCTTGGGGGTGTGGGCTGCATCTGAATATAAGCAGATGTTCTGGCTTTTTGCTCTCTCTGGATCCTGTGGCTGCCTCCTGTCATCTCATCTCTGGTTCTTGGGGCTTGAGCTGTCAGCTTATCTGCCGAACTTGGGATTCGTTGGTCTTCACAGCCTGTGAGCGGAGCCCTGCTCTCTGACCTGCCAATCTTGGGTTCGCCAGCCCCTGCAGCTACATGAATCAGGAGAAACCTTGTGGTCTCGCCTGCCAATCTTGGGCTTGCCAGCTTCTGCAGCTGCGTGACTTGGGAGAGGCCTTTACCCTGATCCACGGACTTGGGATGTTCTAGCCTCTCCAATCACATGAGCTGTTTCCTTGATATAAATCTCTCTGTCTGTATATATTTATACACGTTACTGGTTTTTCTTCTCTAGAGAACCCAGCCTAAGACACCGCCTGAATATCTTCTCTGGCGAAAAGTCTGTTCATATCTTTGCCCATTTTTAGATTGTATTATTTGTCTTCTTGTTGTTGAGGTTTTGCAGTATCTTGTAGATTTTAGAGATTAGACGCTGATTGGATCTGTTGTAGCCAAAAATTTTTTCCCAGTCTGTAGGTTGTCTTTTGACTCTTTTGGTGAAGTGTTTTGATGAGCATAAGTGTTTGATTTTTAGGAGCTCCCAGTTATCTAGTCTATCTTCTGGTGCTTGTGCATTGTTTTTATGGTTCGTATTGTGTTTATGCCATGTATTAGCGCTCCTAGGGTTGTCCCTATTTTTTCTTCCATGATCTTTATCGTTTTTGATTTTATATTTAAGTCTTTGATCCATTTTGAGTTAGTTTTTGTGCATGGTGTGAGATATGGGTCTTCTTTCAGTTTTTTGCAGATGGATATCCAGTTATGCCAGCACCATTTATTAGAGAGATGGTCTTTCCCACAATTAACAGACTTTGGGCCTTTGTCAAATATCAGCTGCTCATAGGTGGATGAATTTATGTCTGTATTCTCAATTCTGTTCCATTGGTCTATGTATCTGTTGTTGTACCAGTACAAGGCTGTTCTGACTACCATGGCAGTATCATAGGTTCTAAAATCAGGTAGTGTGAGGCCTCCCACTTTGTTCTTCTTCTTGAGTAATGCTTTACTTATTCGGGGCCTCTTCCCTTTCCATATGAAGTTGGTGATTTGTTTCTCCATCTCATTAAAAAATGCCGTTGGAATTTGGATCGGGATTGCATTGTATCTGTAGATCGCTTTGGGTAGAATTGACATTTTCACAATGTTGAGTCTTCCTATCCATGAGCAAGGTATGTTTTCACTTACGCAGGTCAGAAAAAGAGAGAGTCTTAAGGAATAGGATTTTTTTCTTTTTTAAACTCGGAACTTTCTATTTAGAATGCCACTGACCTCCCCAGTTCACCCCAAAGCCTCAGATGCAGGCAGCCTGGCAGAATGACAGTCTGCTTTTTAACTACAAACAAGCACAGGATTCCTGGTCTCGTAGTAGTGCTAAGGTATAAAAGTGGTTCTTACTAATTATCCAGTAGAGCAGATAAAAAAACAAATCCGGCACATGTCTGGTACTCAGTACCTATTGCCGTCAAGTCAGTTCCGACTCACAGCGACCCCATGTGTCACAGAGTAGAACTGCTCCATAGGGTTTTCTTGGCTATAATTTTTACAGAAGCAGATTACCAGGCCTTTCTTCCGTGGTTCCTCTGGGTGGGTTTGAACTGTTAACCTTTCTATTAGTAGTTGTCTGCAAACCGTTTGCACCAGCCAGGGCATATGTCTAGTGATGCTAAATGAGAAAAGCACTACATGTTTAATGTCCTTCAAGCACATGTCAAGTAGTTAGATGTCCGGATCCATTTTTAATCTTTGAAAAACAAATGACCTCTCAACAAGATCCTCTGGTTCATAGATGGAAAAGTCAAGTAGAGAGTGGCTCCCAGTTCCTTATTTTACTCCTTTAACATCATTAGAAACCAGTTACTGTCGCTTCAGCTCTGACTCATGGCCACCCCATGTGTGTCAGAGAAGAACTGTGCTCCAGAGGGTTTTCTTTGGCTGATTTTTCAGAAGTAGATTGCCAGCCCTTTCTTCCAAGATGCCTCTTGGTGGACTTGAACCTCCAGCCTTTTGGTTAGCAGCCAAGTATGTTAACCCTTTGCACCACATGATTATTCAATCTATAAATATTGTTATGGCATCATTTTCTTTTTAAAGTTAAGAGGAAGAAAAATTGTGTCCAATTTTGTGATCTCCCCAAAATTGGCCCATTTAAAATAAAATCTGAAAAAAACCTTTTTAACTTTTTCTTTATTTTAAAAAGTATTTCTCATCTTTTTATTCAAGACTGGTTCCTAGGTACACACATTATTGAGTTCAACATTCTTTTGTAGTTGCTTAAACAATACAATTTGCCTTAAACATACAGGTAAATGTCTAGAAATACTTTCTGGCTAACCTTTGAATGTGTGGCGTAGGATAATAAAATTAATACTAGGGACAAATATTATTAGTCCTGTCGAAAAAGTCAGGAAATCAACAGGCTTGCTTCTAACCTAGCTACATAGGACTGCCCATCAGTTGGTGAAAGCAGTAATTAAAGTGAATTCTAGGAGGCAAATAAATGCAGATCTCGGGGTTCAACACCATGTTTTTGACTCAGTGATTTTAGTCTTGAGTCTTGGTTTTATTTGGAGAATGTAAACACTTTCAGGATAACTGTTTAACTCAGTGAACAAGTATCTGTGATCGTTTTCAAATTTACAGAGGAGTATCTTTTTTTAGAGAAGTGACAGTGTCAAGGAAGCTACCGTAATTCATGCTTAGCTGCAATTTGGGCATTTAATGGCAGCGACTCATGAATTAAGGCAGCTTCCTTGACACTTTAATTAAAATGTAACCATCTGGAAGTAAAGGACATGAGGTCCTAAGGACTTGTGCACATCCTAGGGAACACTTCATTACTTAGAAAGCTCTGATTAGAAGATACATAAAATGCTGTTTAGACAAATAAGTAGTCCATCCAGTGTTGTATTTGTCTGATTTTGGCACGTTAGGACCTATTGTCTTATGTAGGATATTCTTCCTTTGTAATGTTGTTCTCAGAGGTTAAGATTATATATTGAATTACCTGGATGTACTCCTATTGCTCGTTACATGTTCTATTATGTTGTGTTATGAATACCTGTTTAACTTATTTGTGTTTTCAGCAGTAAGAGCAGAAGTATTTAACCTAATTGTGATGTTTAAAAAATGGGTGAAATAATAATGATATCAACATGTTTTATTTTCATACAAAATTTTATGATTTGCAGAATGTTCTGATTTCCCCAACAACTCAGGAAAGGAATTGCTATGTTTTCTTGTATGCTAAATAAGTATAGAGGAATAGTTCTTAAAGAAAAGCCTTTTAAGCATTAACTCATTTATTGTAATAATTAATTATGTTTAGATTTTGTTTAACAGCAGGCTGAAGATAAAAATTAGAGAAGAGGTTGTTAAGGGTTTCTATAACAATGTGTATTTAAAATATGCAAATTAAAAAAATTTTTGATTTTGGTTCATGGTATTGAATTCGTCCGTAAGATAGTCTTGTATTTTTTCAATTTGCTTTTATTCATTGTGGGAATATTTTAAGATGTAGACATTATTGTTATTTGTGTTTTTATAGGCAATCCCTACTCAACAGAGAAAAACAGCTCAACTCGCTTCTAGAGTTAGATCCTTGCCTCTCCCCACTGATTACCTTGTTGAAATTAACAAAGTTTTACACACCATGGATGATATTGAATTGTCACTTAATACTCCAGAGCTGAACACTGCTGTCTATGAAGACTTCTCTTTTCAGGAAGATTCTCTGAAGGTAAATCTCCAGGCACTGCATCTGGATAGCTGCAGTTAATGAAGAAATAAAGCAAGGACATAGTTATTGTACCTAATTAGATGTTCTATAACTTTTTAAAATTTGTGCTAAGGAATTAGTAACGTGTATGAATAATAAACCTTTCTTGTGTTCACCAATGAAATATATCAGCAGTTTTAATTTTTTATTGTGTTTTAGGTGAAGGTTTACAGAGCAAATTGGTTTCTCATTAAACAATTAATACATGTATTGTTTTGTGACATTGGTTGCCAACCATATAACACATCAACACTCTCCCCTTCTCGACCTTGGGTTCCCTATTACCAGCATTCCTGTTGCTTCTTTGCCTTCTTGTCCTTGCCCCTGGGCTAGTGTGCCCATTTAGTCTCATTTTGTTTTATAGGGCTGTCTAATCCTCTAATCTTTGGCTGAAGGGTGAACCTCAGGAGTGACTTCATTACTGGGCTATAAGGGTGTCTGGGGGCCATACTCTCGGGGTTTCTCCAGTCCCTGTCAGACCAGTAAGTCTGATCTTTTTTTGTGAGTTAGAATTTTGTTTGACCTTTTTCTGCAGCTCTGTCCTGGACCCTCTATTGTGATCCCTGTCTGAGCAGTCAGTGGTGGTAGCCAGGCACTATCTCATTGTGCTGGCCTCAGTCTGGTGGAGGCTGTGGCAGTTGTGGCCCCTTGTGTCTTTGGTTTTCTTCATTCTCCCTTGTTCCAGATGGGGTGGGACCAGTGGAGTATCTTAGATGGCTGCTCACAAGATTTTAAGACCCAAGATGCTACTCAGCAAAGTAGCATGTAGAACATTTTCTTTATAAACTGTGTTATGCCAGTTGAGCTAGATGTTCCCTGAGACCATGGTCCCCAGCTCTCAGCCCAGTAACTCGGTCCCTCAGGGAGTTTGGATGTGTCTATGAAGCTTCCGTGACCTTGCCTTGGTCAAGTTGTGCTGGCTTCCTCAGTATTGTGTACTGTCTTACCCTTCACCAAAGTTATCACTCATGTACTGTCTAGTTAGTGTTTTTCCCTCCCCACCTCTCCACTCCCTTGTGACCATCAAAGATTGTTTCTTTCTGTACGTAAACCTTTTCATGAGTTTTTATAATAATGGTCTCATACAGAATTTTCCTTTTATGATTGACTTATTTCACTCAGAATAATGCCCTCCAGATATGTCCATGTTGTAAGATGTTTCACAGATTCATCATTGTTCTTTATTTTTGCATACTATTCTGTTGTGTGTGCGTACCATAGTTTGTTTCTCCATTCGTCTGTTGATGAGCACTTAGGTTGTTCCCATCTTTTTGCTATTGTGAATAATGCTGCAGTGAACATGGGTGTGCATATGTCTATTAGTGTGAGGGCTCTTATTTCTCTAAGATATATTCCTAGGAGTGGGATTGCTGAGTTGTATGGTGTTTCTATTTGTAGCTTTTTAAGGAAGTGCTGTAATGTGTTCCCAAATGGTTGTACCGTTTTACATCCAGCAGTGCATAAGAGTTCCAAGTGGGGGAGAGGGGATAACTAAATAGACAATAGATAAGTGGTAACTTTGGTGAAGGGTAGGACAGTACACAGTACTGGGGAAGCCAGCACAACTTGTAGAAGGAAAGGTCATGGAAGCTCCATAGACACGTCCAAACTCCCTGAGGGACTGAATTGCTGGGCGGAGGTCTGTGGGGACCATGGTCTCGGGGAATAGCTAGCTCAATTAGTGTAACACAGTTTATAAAGACAATGTTCTACATTCTACACTGGTGAGTAGCGTGTGGGGTCTTGAAAGCCTGTGAACAGCCATCTGAGATACTCCACTGGTCTCACCCCTTCGGGAGCAAGGGAGAATGAAGAGAACAGGATACAAGGAAAAGATTAGTCCAAAGGACTAATGGACCACAGCCACCACGGCCTCCACCAGACTGAGTCGAGTACAGCTAGATGGTGCCCGGCTACCACCACTGACTGCTTTGACCGGGATCACAACAGAGCATCCTGGACAGAGCTGGAGAAGGATGTAGAACAAAATTCTAACTCACAAAAAAGACCACATTTACTGGCCTGACAGGGACTGGAGAAACCCTGAGAGTATGGCCCCCTGATACTCTTTTAGCTCAGTGGTGAAGTCACTCCCGAGGTTCACCATTCAGCCGGGGATTGGACAGCCCCATAAAACAAAATGGGACTAATGAGGCCCAGCAGTCCAGGAACAAGGACTAGAAGGCAGGAGGGAACAGGAAAGCTGGTGATAGGAAACCCAAGGTTGAGAAGGGACAGTGTTGACATGTCGTGGGGTTGTTAACCATTGTCATAGGACAATATGTGTACTAACTGTTTAACGAGAAACTATTTGTTCTGTCAACCTTCATCTAAAGTACAAAAAAAAAAAAAAAAGAATTATCTATGTGAGATCAAATTGACAACAGCTACTCAGGGGATTTGATGGGAAGCCTAAGGGGCGGTGAGTTGAAAATAATGGTGATGGAATAATTTGGAAAGGGATAGTGAGAATGACAGTACAACTGGAAGAATGTAATGTATGTCACTGCATTGTACATGTAGAAATTTTTGAAATGGTTTATCTTTGGCTATGAATATTTTCACCAAAAAAAAAAAAAAAAAGGTCCCCCAAGGTTGAGAAGGGAGATTGTTGACATGTCATGGGGTTTTTAACCAATGTCATAAAACAATATGTGTACTGACTGTTTAGTAAGAATGCGCCTTTTTCCTCATGTGTCTGTTAGCCGCATGAATGTCTTCTTTGGTGAAGTGTCTGTTCATATCCTTTGCCCATTTTTTAATTGGATTATTTATCTTTTTGTGGTAGAGGTGTTGGATTTTCCTACAGATTTTAGAGTTAGGCCTTTGTCGGATATGTCACAGGCAAAATTTTTTTCCCAGTCTGTAGGGCTCTCTTTTCACTCTTTTGGTGAACTCTTTTGATGAGCATAAGTGTTTAAATTTTAGAAGATCCCAGTTATATAGCTTATCTTCTGATGTTTCTGTATTATTGGTTATGGTTTGTATCCTATTTATGCAGTATATTGGGACCTCTAGCATTGACCCTGTTTTTTTTCTATGATCTTTATAGGTTTTGATTTTATATTTTGGCCTTTGATCCATTTTGAATTAGTTTTTGTGTATGTTGTGAGGTATGGATCCTGTTTCATTTTTTTACAGGTGGACCTCCAATTTTGCCAGCACTATTTGTTAAAAAGACTGTCTTTTCCGCATTTAATGGCCTTTGCGCCTTTGTCGAAGATCAGGTGACCATAGGTGGATGGATTTACATCTGGGTTCTTGATTCTGTTCCACTGGTTTATGTGTCTGTTGTTGTTCCAGTACCAGGCTGTTTTGACTACTGTAGCTGTATAGTAGGTTCTAACGTCAGGTAGTGGGAGGCCTCCTACTTTATTCTTTTTCTTCAATAGTGTTTTACTTATCCGCGGCCTCTTTCTTTTCCATATAAAGTTAATGATTAGTTTTTCCATCTCATTAAAGAATGCTCTTTGTATTTGGATCAGGATTGCACTGTATTTGTAGATTGCTTTGGGTAGGACTGACATTTTCACAGTGTTGAGTCTGCCTATCCCTGAGGATGGTTTTTCCATTTATGTAGGTCTTGTTTGTTTTCTTGCAGTAGTATTTTGTAGTTTTCTTTGTATAGGTCTTTTATGTAGCAATTTTAATTTTTTAAACTAAATATGGGATTTTAAGTGTACACAGTTATTAGTTCGTTGTAAAGTCAGAGACAGTTTTTATCAAACACATACACAAACCGTATCCTTGTCTTAAAAATTTTATTGTCAGTTGATATATAATGTTATCATTTATCATGCCATCTGTGATTTAAGATTGGCTGGTTGTTTGAATGTTGATTGGCATGTTGATTGTAAGATAATTAGGGATCTGGAAGTTGTTAGTTAATTCATAATACTACTAAATCCCTTTAAGATTTTCCATATATTTTGATTACATTTATGTATAAAATCACAACAGAATCACTGATTGGTTTGCAAAGTTTGATAGCTTATTTCTGTCGTTTAAACTATGATTATTCGGATTTGAAATATAAGTAATTCCAGCTTCAAACATTTCATTACCTTTACAGAATATGATTGAAGCTTTTCCTATGACGTGTACAAATGCCACCTTAAACATCTGTGAGGATTTTTTTTTTCCTGCCATTAGTAAATTATTTAACATTCTTTACACTTTGTCTAACACAGGGTATTATTTAAAAAAAATGTTTCCAGTTTTGATTAGCAACAATTATTATACCTCAGTATTATTTTAAATTAGTCTTACGCAATATAAATTTTTCCTCATCTGAGTTTCTATTATTTTTATGTCTGTACTGGACTTTGTTAATATAACACAATATATTTGCAGAATATCAAAGACCAACTGGACAAACTTGGAGAGCAGATTGCAGTCATTCATGAGAAGCAACCAGATGTTATGCTTGAAGCTTCTGGACCTGAAGCTGTTCAGATCGGGGATGCACTTACTCAATTGAATGCAAAATGGGACGGAGTTAATAGAATATACAATGATTGTAAAGGGTATGTGTAAATTAAATTAATATTTAATTTTTTGCAAAAAGGCTTTTAAGTTCATGGTCTTTGAAAAAGGTCATGTGTAGATTTATGAGAGTATGTTTCACACGCTTGTAATTTGTCCTGTTTAATCAATTATGAAAGGAGCACTGGTGGCACAACGGTTAAGCACTTCCTTGCCTGCTAACCCAAAGGTTGGCGATTGAGACCCCCTGAGCCTCTTTCCTGGAGAAGGACCCTGCAATCTGGTCCCGTAAAGATCACAGCCTAGAAAACCCTCTGGGGAGGTTCTTGTTTGTCACAATGGGTCACTATGAGTTGGAATCGACTCAACAGCACCCAACAACAACAACACTCAGTCGTGAGGGGGATTTTTCCATAAAGAAGGAGGAGTCTGATCACATATAGACGACTGTTTACAACATAATGTCTTGACAATATGGAAGCACCTTGAGTTTTTAATATCTAAATAGTGTCAATTTGGTTTGAAAAAGTTAAAAAAAATTTTCATTAATGTTTAATTTCTCCACATGCTTGATGATTAATGTCAGTGGAGAACAGACTGAACTACAGATAATTGGAATCTATATATAACCCCAAACTCTTTTTTCATAACTTTCTGTTTAATAGAATGTTTTTGAGCCTTCTTACTAGATTTTGACCATGCCTGTTAATAGGTGGAAATTAAAATTGGTAATTTTTTCACCAGGAGTTATGTAGGGAGTGGAAAGCTAAATAAAATGTGAAATAGCCTAGTATAAAGTAGTGTATAAGAGGAAAGGCAATGGAATAATACATTGAAAATTTTCGAGATACACAATCAGTAATGTCATGTTTTTAATAGTTTTTTTCACCTATACTTTTCATGTGATTAAATGATCTTTGAGACAATAACTTTTAATGGCGTTATGATATATCCCTTTTATGGATATGTCTTTTTTTTTTTAAACAATCCCCTTGTACAATTAAAGAATATCCTTTTACATACATCTTTATCCATATTTTTAAGCATTTCATTGGGCTTGATTATTAGATGAAAAGTCATTTGTTACAGAATAACTATTGAACCACCATTGCCCCCAAAAGTAGGATGGATATTATAAAAATAAAACAGATCTTCTTTCAGAACTCTTTTATGCCTACTCTGCAATGGACCATGGTATTAACTTTTATATTTTCTCAAATGTAACTTGAGAACTATCTTAGATGAATGGTGGCACTCCCCTTTGCCTGATATTTCATCCCCTTCTTTAGGCCAGGTGTTTCTTCTTCTTTATCTTGGATTCTTGAATCCTTGGAATGTGTATCTTCTCTCCTATTAAGGTCTTCTCAGGTAATTATTCTGTTTATGTACTTTGGTGACTTTCACTGCTGTGTCTTCATCTTAGAAGGCTTTCAGAAGTATTCTTCAGATGGTTCAATTTACAATACCTTTTACTTATTCAATTTTCTTTACTCACTTCACAGAAACCTGATTAAAATTTTTCTTTGTTGCAGACTCAGAGTTCTGTCTTCTATCAGAAATAATTTTCCCTCTTAATTCTATCAATTCTTCTTTTTCCATCTTTTAAAAAATTTCTGAAATTCCATCATTTTACCATAGAAAGACTTTGCCCATCCATCTGCCTATCTACCCATCTGTCCATGCATCATCCACTTAATAAATGTTTAAGTGCCTACTAATGTAAGCACATAAAGCCACATGTAAGTGACTGTAAAGAGTTGTAAGCAAATCCACTATATAGATACAGTCTCTTTCCTTAAGGTCCAATGACATATAGAGGAGAAAAGGAGAAAGGCGGTTATTAAACAGTGCATAGATGTATGATGGGAATAATATAGGAGACCATGTTAGGAGCTCTCAGGGATGTAGGAAGACTTCTTGGAGATTGTGAAGTTAGCCAGGTGAAGGAAGAGATGGAATGCAACGTTGCAGAGGGTCATAGATAAAAGTGAGTGTGATGCTTTTGAGGCAATGAAAATAATCCAGCAGAGCTAGAACTTATGGCAAAGAGATGAGACCAGAAAGATCTAAAGGGATCAAATTATGAAGGATCTCTGTGTGTCATATCAAGCTATTTGTATTTTATTCTGAGAACAATAGGAAGCCATTGCAGTATTTTTAGCAAAGGAATGACAGCTTGCTGATTGTAGAATGGTTTGGTTGAGGTTAAGACTAAAGGAGAGAAAGGGCCACATAAACCAGAGACTTCATCAACCTGAGACCACAAGAACCAGATGGTGCCTGGCTACCACCAGTGACTGCCCTGACAGCGAACACAAGAGAGAGTCCCTTGATGGAGTAGGAGAAGGGTAGGGTGCAGAACTCAAATTCTAGTAAGAAGACCAGACTTAATGGTCTCATTGAGACTGGAGGAACCCTGGAAAGTGTGGCCCCCAGATTCTCAGCCCAGAACTAAAACAATTTCCAAGGCCAACTCTTCAGGGATTGGACTGGACTGTGGGACATAAAGTGATACTCGTGAAGAGTGTGCCTCTTAGCTCAAGTAGATACAAGAGACTAAATGGGCAGCTTCTGTCCAGAGGTGAGATGGGAAGGCAGAGAGGGTTAGGAGCTGGTTGAATGGACATGGGGAATCAGCGGTGGAGGAGGAGTGTGCTGTCACAGTATGGGGAGAGCAATTAGGGTCACATAACAATGTATGTATAAATTTTTGTATGGGAGACTAACTAGAAATGTAAACTTCTTCTAAACTACAACAATAAACAAAAACAAAATAAATAAATAAATAAAAAGACTGAAGGAGACCAGTTTGTGGTTGTCCCATGATGATAGTTTGACTAGGGAAATTGCTGCAGAAGTGGAGACTAAGGGGAAAATTCAAGAACTGTCTGGAGAGTTGAATCAGTAAGATGTGGTGATGATGGGATGTTTGAGGAAGGAAAGGGGAAGAATAAAAAATGACACCCAAGTCTTTGTCTTAAGGACATATGTAAATTGTTGTTGGTAGGTGCTGTTGAGTCAATTCCGACTCATAGCAACCCCATTTGACAGAGTAGAACTGCCCCATAGGGTTTTCTAGGCTATAATCTTTATGGAAACTGATTGCTAGATCTTTCTTCCGTGGAGCCGCTGGGTAGGTTTGAACCACCAATCTGCTGGATAGCAGTCGAGCACTTAACCTTTGTGCTACCAGGGCTTCTTCCTTCCTAGGTAGGTAATGGTGCCATTCCCAGATTCAGGGAAGATAGGTGGTGGGGTGAGTGCCTAGGGAAGGATAGCAAGTTCAGTTAGAATTTTAGTGCCAACCTTTCCATTAGTAGTTAATCACTTAACCAGTTGCACCACCCAGGAACTCCAGAGACAGAAAACTTATCTTTTTCTAGTTTAAATCCAAACCAAGGATGGGATAGGGTAGCAGACTTCCCAATGTGGTCATGAAGTGGATGAAGTCATTAGAGTCCCTTGACTCTCTGGAAGTCCGTTGTCCTTCATGATTCTGTGCTGCCTCCACACCACCTGGCTGGATTAGGGAGGAGGCGATGGCTTTGCAAACCCTACCTGAACATGAATCTCCTTTTCTACAACTCTGTTCAAGTTAATACATAGCTGTGCTGCATAGATTTATTTGAAATTTATTGTGCTGTTACTATGTTATTGATATTTTCTGAGTTTAATGTTTTTCTTAAAGTCTTTGTATCTTTAGAGCAGCCTTTCTGGCAACATTTCCGATCGATGACTGCAGAATCTTCAAGTTGGAAATTGTGATTTCTATATAGTTATCAAGCATTGTTATAAGTGATAATGAAGATAGCCTTAACATCTTCTTGTAGTATTTTGCTTAAAGTGCTCTTATTTTTATCATACTCAATAGAGTTTTGCTTTCCTCTGGGCAGTCAACAAATACTTACTGAATTTAAAAAATGACTTTCATGGAAGAAGATAATATAAATATTATTTAGGGTTAGTGATGATCAGAGACCTTTTTTTGTGGTTTTTAATATTTTTATTATAAAAAGTAAAAAATTTATTACTGTTTAAATTTCAGAGAGCTCTTCTAAACCTCTCCCAGCTCCATTACTCTAAAACAACAAGGTAGAAAAAAAAAATTTAGGATTCTAATCCAATAGAGCATTTCCTTTTTATGTTTATTTTACACGTTCTGAATATGACATGCACTGGAGTTTTACTTCCTGTAATTTCTAAGAGAGTCACGTTTAAACAGAATCTCAGTAGCCCTTTGGCTCAGTGCCCTGTAGGGAGTCTCACTCAGGGCCTTGCCCGCACCTCCATGCTGTGCTGGGTTCAGGTGAATGGGACGCTAAGGATTACTCGTTTGCCAGAGACCATGGAGTACAAGGAAATTGTGAAGAGTTTTGGCCTTTGGGACTTTGTTTTAACTGGGAACTAAGTGTTCTGGCATATTTTTCCTGAGTAAAGAGAGTAGAGTAATTAATCATATTTTATATTTCATGGTATTTGAAATGTTAAGGGTATAAAGTTGGGTGGGTTAATGTGCCTGCGGCTAATTAATCTTGATTCTCCTAGCCAGAAAGGCAAAGTTTGCTTGGCCTCAGTGTAGTCTCTTCAGTTACAAAGCTGCCTTAGTGTGTGTGAGTGCATGCGTGCACACACACATGTGCATAAAAGAGAGAAAGGTATTGAGAGAGAGAAAGAGGCAGGGGCAAAGTGGGAAGCAGGTGCCTTTGCTGTTGGTATGATGTGGGTTTCTCTAAGGGGACTTGTTAACTGTAACTTGTAGAGCAATGAGCTGTGAATTAAGTTGTTCTTGGTCTTTCAGTTTAAATGGTGTTTGAATTCCCTTTTTAGAAAAATTGCTTCTCAGCAGTCCTGGAAAGGTGGGAAATCTTTATTTTGTTTGTCTTCCTGTAGTTATTCAGATAGGGCTTTGGAAGAATGGAGACAGTTCAACTGTGACCTTAATGACCTCACACAGTGGATAACGGAAGTCAAGCAGTTGCTGGTTGATACCTGTGCTCCAGATGGCAGCCTGGATTTGGAGAAAGCCAGGATACATCAGCAGGTGAGTGCTCTGCCACAGGATGGGATCTCTGCTAAAGAGGTTACATATGTATTTAGCACGTGGCTTTCAACACAGATTCTCAGAAGTAGGGACCAAATATGATGGTTTTTCAGGAGTATAGACAATTTGTAATTTCTGTTCCAATTCTAGTTTCCAGTTTCAATGGTTTAAAAAATATCAGTCATTTACCATTTTTAATCAGAATTTTACAAAGAAATTTAAATAGAAATTTACTCTTCAGTAGCTAATATAAAAAACAATGTTATTTTAAGACCTTTATATTGAGAATAAAATGTGAAAAATTTTGCACCCAAATCTATCTCAAGGGCAGATCTTTAAAACAGATCTATACCTTGTCTTTGTTTTCTGTCCACAAACACTGAGGTATCTCATTTTTCTTTGTATCATTGATAATTATCATAAAAGTAAATTATTCTTGAGCTATAGAGGGCAGCTGCTCACGTAAATCTAATTCCATCTTGGAAAATACAACACAATAGCTAGGTTCGTTCTTCTGATAACAATAGGTCTTTAAAACTCATAGTAGAAACCAAAAAAAATTTCAATTTTACCATTGATAAAATATTTCCTTATTAAATCTTCAAATATATTTTATGTAGAAGGTTTTTGAGTAGTTAAAGAGAATGCTTTTATTTTTGCCATAAAGATGTATTAATTTTGGAATTACACGTGAGTGTTTAAATCTGACCTTTAAATTATTCCTTTAATCCGTTGATTTAAAAATTTGCAGGGCAGTGAAGCAATGTCTCAGTAGAATGCACACTGAAGCTTACTTATATATGATAGGACATAAGGGTTTATGGAGTATATACATATATTTTTTAAGAGATACTTACAGGCTCATGTTTGAAAGAAGATAATTCACTTTAATCAAATATGATTGATGCTTATGCTGCAATGTAAACAGCTGTTATTATTATTATTATTTTTTAATATTTTTAGTTGTCCTTTTTCACTGTATTTTACCTAATGGCATTCATGAGAGTGAATTACATTTCAAAATAGATTTCATTTAGTGTTTTCTTTGAAATGTAATTGTATTGTTTTAAAATGCCTTTTAAAGCATAAAGGTAAAATAATATCCTTCCAAACTTCATGTCTCTAACACTTATATTGATACCACAACTCCTGGGTGAATTCATTGTGTCAGAAAAGTTTAATTTAGTAGTAGAATTAATTGTAGGTTATACTCTGTTACAGGAACTCGAAGAAGGCATCAGTAGCCACCAGCCTAGTTTTGCAGCCCTAAACGGAACTGGAGACAGCATTGTACAGAAACTCTCCTCCACAAGTGGAAGCTTCTTGAAAGACAAGCTGGCAGGTCTAAACCAACGCTGGAGTGCAGTGACCGCAGAAGTGAAGGCTAGGCAGCCAAGGTGATTCAGACATGATAACTTGAGGGCACAGGGTGAAGCTGTTTGGGGGTACAATTAGGTCAGTTCAAAGTTCTTTTACGGTCACGTTGTTGTTAGGTGCCATTGAGTCTGTTCTGACTCATAGTGCCCCAGTGGACAACAGAATGAAACATTGCAGGGTCCTGCACCATCCTCACAATCCTTGTTATGCTTGAGCCCATTGTTGCAGCCACTGTGTCAATCCATCTCATTGAGGGTCTTCTTCTTTTCACTGACCCTCTACTTTACTAACCATGATGTCCTGCTCCAGGGACTTGTCCCTACTGATAACATGTCCTAAGTTATGTGAGGTGTAGTCCTGCCATCCTTGCTTCTAAGGAGCATTCTGGTTGTACTTCTTCCAAGACAGATTTGTTCGTTCTTTTGGCTGTCCGTGGTATATTCAGTATTCTTCGTCAACAGCATAACTCAAAGCCATCAATTCTTTGATCTTCCTTATTCATTGTCCAGCTTTTGCATGCGTATGAGACGATTGAAAACCCGTGGCTTGGGTCAGGCGCACCTTAGACTTCATGGTGTCATCTTTGCTTTTTAACACTTTAAAGAGGTCTGACATTATGATAGGAGTTTTATTGACATTTAAGACCTCCACTGTCCATGGTCCCCCCCTTACTGGGTTTTTAAGCAGTCCTTAAGTCTAACTTTTCCACTCACACGCCACATAAATAAAACATATCTTATAGGAGTCTTTGGGTGGTGCAGTTAAGCGCCTGACTACTAGCTGAAGGGTTGGCTGTTCGAACCTACCGAGAGGCACCTTAGAAGACAGGCCTGGCAATCTGCTTCTGAAAGGTCACAGCGTTGAAAACCCTATGGAGCAGTTCTACTCTGCCCACACGGGGTCTCCATGAGTCTCAGAACTGACTTGACGCAACTAAAAAAAAATGGTAGCAAAGCACACTTTTATTCCTTTTATTGCTGTTTCTTATGATATGCTGATTATGTGGAGGCAGCTTGAAGTTGTTGAAAGTGTGTTACTGGACTTCCAGTGCAAAGATCTGGATTCAGGTTCTAGGACCCACTGGGTCATTTCCTGCCTGAGCTTCTGAGTCTTTATTAGGCTGTTCTTAGTGGCCCATGATACGTTCTGTGCATATATAACAGGCTTTATGAATAAGAAAGTTCCTTATCTATGCAATATAATAAATATAATGTATTATTTATTTTTAATATTAGATGATGTTACAGTGCCCCAGGTTTTATTAGCTTGGCTTCTGGCTGCAAACCAATTTCATCACCAGTGAATACAATACTCAGCATTATACATACTGTTGTATATAATACTTGAAAATTATTTGAAATTATTTTGTGAGACAGTCAAGATTTAATGGATGATTTCTACTTTGCCTAATACGTTCCATATCATTAAGGATCCTTTTTTTTAATTTAATGGTAGTTTTGGGTTAAGAAGTCCAAGAAATATTTTTTTCTTTTAATTTTAACTCTGTAAATGATATATTATTTTAACAAGAAGCTATTATTTTTTTGCAGGCCAGTGTAATGTTTTATCAAGTCCAGTATTATAATGTGACATAAAACATTCAAGTACGATGTGGTCTATGGCTGCTTTTTACAAACTAATATCTTCTGTTACTTTGAGTGGAGTCCCTGGGTGGTGCAAATGGTTAATGTGCTAGTCAGCTAACCGAAAGGTTGGGGGTTTGAGTCCACCCAGAGGCACCTTAGAAGAAATGCCTGAGGATCTACTTCCAAAAAAAAATCATCCATTGAAAACCCTGTGGAGCATAGTTCTACTCTGATACACATGGGATCACCATGAGTTGGAATCAAGTTGACAGCAACTGGTTTACTGCTTATTATTTTGTGTGTTTTGGCTAAGAGACTAATTGGTCAAGAGATTCACATGTAGCAGAGAGCTGTATTTGGCACCTCACATACACTGCCTCATTCAATCCTCACTAATAGTGGCTAGGAAACCCCATGGATGTAGTGGTTAAGAGCTATGGCTGCTAACCAAAAGGTCAGCAGTTCAAATCCAGCAGGCGCTCCTTGGAGACTGTGTGGGGCAGGTCTACTCTGTTCTTTAGGGTTGCTATGAGTCAGAATCAACTTGATGGCAGTGGGTTTGGTTTTTGGGTTTTTTTTAAAACAATGATTAAGAGATTGGCTGTTAACCAAAAGATGTGCAGTTCGAATCCACCAGCTGCTCCTTTGAAACAATATGGGGTGGTTCTACTCTGTTCTATAGGGTTGCTATGAGTCGGAATCAACTCGACGACAACGAGTGTTTTTTTTTTTTTTTTTTAATAATATCCCTTGTGGGGACTGTTGTGCCCGTTGTACACTTTGGGACATTGAGACTCAGAGGAGAGAGGTTAAGTAACTTGTCCAGCGTCTTGCCATGGGTGATAGCACTGTCTTATGCTCTCAAGCACCATGCTCTACAAACTTGGCGAGACCACAGAGCTCTATGGTCAAAGTTTCCCCCTCTGTGAATGAGAATATGATATTTCATTAGAGGATTGTTGTGAGGGTTAAATGAGACAGGGTTTGTAAAATTTTTATGCCCTATTTCCTAGTAAATACTCAGGATACTAATTGTAAGTTAGCCTAGAACTTACTCAACCAGCATGTTGTTGCTGAGTTTGGCCAATGATTGACGGATTTGATCAAGTTTTATTGAGCCTTGTATTCAGCACTGAGGATACAAATAGGATTAAGAAGCTCAGAGACGAAGAAGAGGAAAAATGTTTAAAGAAGAAATGAGGTAGTAGGATTAAAGAAAGCATCTTTAGTAAGATGAAGTATTCTCATACAGGCAGATGTGATAGGCATCACAGAGAAGGGATACTTAAGGTGAATTTTGAAGCATTTGTAGAAATTTCCCATAATTTCCTTCTAAGGAAGGCCTTCTAGGGAAAAGAAGTAGAACAGGCAAAGATGAGGAGGTATTAACTAGCGTGGCCCTGTCAGAGATCTGCAAAGATTAGCTGTGGGTGAGGGTTCAGGGAAGAAAGAGTGGGATTCCAAGCTGAGATCCCATGGGATCTTATATGGAGTGGTGTCATGGATTGAATTGTGTCCCCCAGATATATCTGTCAACTTGGGTAGGTCGTGGTTCCCAGTATTGTATGATTATCTACCATTTTGTCATCTGATGTGATTTCCATATGTGTTGTAACTCCTATCACTTTGATGTTAATGAGATGGATTTGTGGCAGTTATGTTGATGGATCTATAAGATTAGATAGTGTCTTAAGCTAGTCTCTTTTGAGATATAAAAGACAGAAGTCAGCAGAGAGACAGGGGGACCTCATACCGCCAAGAAAGCAGCGCTGGGAGCGGAGTGTGTTCTTTGGACCCGGGGTTCTTGCGGTGAGAAGCTCCTAGTACAGGGGAAGATTGATGACAAAGACCTTCCTCCAGAGCTGACAGAGAAAGCCTTCCCCTGGAGCTGATGCCCTGAATTTGGAATTCTAGCCTCTTAGACTGTGAGAGAGTAAGCTTCTGTTTGTTGAAGTCATCCACTTGTGGTATTTCCGCTTTAGCAGCACTAGATAACTAAGATGGGTAGTAACGAGTTTGCATAGAGAGACAGCTAGCATGGAAATGACCTATCTCCTAGGCCTTCTTAAGCAAAAAGATATACCTATTGACAGGGTTTTAACAATTAATGCAGAAATTCCCCTGAAGATTTTCAGATGGATCTTTGTAGAATGTGGTAATTATTGTTCCCGGAACTAACAAGGTGAAGCTAATACATATTTTACTCATTTTTTAGAAGCAAGAAGAAAAATGAATCTCTTTCTCAATATCTTGTATTTTGACTAAAACAGTATCTGTTTCCATAGGTTCATGTTTAACTTCACTTCAGGTTTATAATCTATCTTAAACTGGGGCCACCTTGGAGCTTTAAGAGCTTTTATGTGTGTACTATTATCAGAGTCACTGAGAATTACCACACAGTTCAATTTGTTTTTGTGTGAATGCCTGTACTTAAATATTTGCACAATTCAGCAACTTATGGTGTTATTCCTTAGTGAGCAATTGTTAGCTACTGTTTGAATATGAATTCATAACATGTTTTTACTCTTAGTGATAACATTTAAAATGTAGATTATATTTAACTAGTGTGCAGATGAAAATTTTTTTGAGACTAAAGTATGTCTGTTGAAGTTACTTGATAATGTCAGCTTCTTTCATGGATACGTTTTTTAAAGACTAAATTAGTCATGATTATGAAACACTGGAAAACACTGGAAATTCAAATTCCTACACTTCTTTAGGAAGCAAAAGGTCTATAATAATACTTGGATGTTTCCAAAGTTGCTATATATGTTCAGTTTTCTCAGATACAGGGAGTCTTACCTCATTAGTACTATTGATTGATTTAAAAAAAAATTGAAGCAGTGTTCTCTCCTGATGGATACTTAATGAGAACTTTTGATTTTGCAGTGATTAAAGTTATTAAAGGCCTAGGAGATAGGTCATTTCCATGCTAGCTGTCTCTCTATGCAAACTCGTTACTACCCATCTTAGTTATCTAGTGCTGCTAAAGCGGAAATACCACAAGTGGATGACTTCAACAAACAGAAGCTTACTCTCTCACAGAGAGAGTAATCAGTTATTAATATCAGTCTTCAAATATTATAGACTATCTACTCAATATATAAGTATTGTTTAGCATTTTATTATGTATACTGTATCATTATGTTAGGTCTTTGTGTGATTAAAAAGAAAAAGTCATAGCTATAAAAAAAGTAAGTTCTTGTTAAGAGTGATAAAATATAATTCATTAAAAAATTGCATTCTCTTTTTAAACAAGCCTGTAACTAGCAGCAGCTATAATAATAATAATATGCCACTTTACATTTATTTAGCTGTTAATAGCTTCCAAAGCTCTATTACAAAAATACACGCTTTTATTTGTCATCTGAGTTCTAATTATATTCTCATCTACTGACAGATGGCTGATATTCTTATAAATGTTATCCTTATAACATTTAAAAGATCTAATTAAGTCAGTTCCTTTTTTATATTCATCTATTTGTTTTCATTACATTCCTTTAAATCTTTTGCCATTTTTTTCTTTAGAATCTCTTTTTATAACTTGGTGCTATATTCAAATATAATACTTATTTTAATGAATTAACCAGATTTCCATTTTCTTGTCTTTTCTAATACTTCTGAAGTTTTTCCAGTTCTCAGTACTTTGCTTTCTTTGTTCGTAGTCTTTCTGTCCTATGAATAAAGTAGAGTAATATTTGCCACCTAATGTGAATAATATGTCATATAATGAGGCCTTTCTATCGCCATAGAGCATTCAAAGAGAATTATGTGTTTTTCCTTATTATTTTAGATAAAGGCATTTTTTTATGTTTATTTAAACTTCTGTTATGTTGTACAGTAGTGTCTTACTTTAAAAAAAAGACCTTTGTATGTAAAATTCTATATGATTTGCATGAGAGAAGAGAACATTCTTTCATTTTAATGTTTCAGATTTAATTAAGGAAAATCTCTTATCAAATAATTCTTGATGTTACAGAATATTTACATTACTATTAGCACTCATTTAAAAATATGTATTAAAATAATTATTATCAATTATTACTTTGGGGGATATTTGGTCAGGATATCCAAAGAAAATATATGATGTCCTGCTTACTTGGGTAAATATTCTCAATATTTTTGAAAAATGTATTCCTTTAGGCTAAAAGAAGAACGTAAGCAGGTGATGGAATATAGGAAAAGGCTAGATGAGATTATCTGCTGGATAACAAAGGCCGAGAATGCTGTACAAAAGACATCAACCACCGAGCTGGAAGAAAACCTGCGAGAACTAACAGTAAGTGGTTTATTTGTCTGTTTGCCAGTGTCTTTTGGTACATGAATCTTTATCCTTAAGAACAATTATTGCATGATGGGAGAAGAAAATGGAGAGAAAGTTTGTACTTTGTGGTGAACTTGAAAGAGGAATATAGTTTTTGCGTTTAGTTTTAAAGAACAGCTATAATTTTAGTGTTGCTGAGGTAAGGTGTCACTAACATAAAAGTTACAAGTCATTGTGGTCTCAGTATTAGATCAAAGGTTTTAGAGGATATTCTAAACAGGCTCCCTCATTTTAGAATATAATAATGCTGTGAACTATAGTTTTTCTCTTTAGGTTTGGAAGATTATTACTGATTATTAGCTATAAAATTGAATTTTACAAGAAAACTCTAAAGTGAAAACAGCAGCTTAGCTATAGGCTTAATCACGATTGTATTAATCAAATTTCCTTTGTTAGTCTGCAACCAATAAAAATTGCTCATAGTTATATATTTATACGAAGTATAAACAGTGATATATAGATATGTAAATATATCCAAATCTCCATGAATTTTTATATCCATAAATATTTTTTTGTGTTAAGAATTTAAAATACTTGTTGCAGAAAAATACACATAATGTGCTCACATTTTTTTATCTAAAAAAAAAACAAGTTGTGTGTGCACGTGCATGCATGCCTAAAAGGCCTGCAAGGCAACTCACTAATTTGATAAGTGATCTTGTCTATAAGGAGTATAATTGAGGCAATTTTGGAAAAACACTTATTTTTGTGCGTGTGTGTTAGGTGCTGTCAAGTAGGTTCCAACTCACAGCGACCCTATCTACAACAGAACGATCCTGCACCATCCTCACTATCGTTGCTGTGTTTGAGGCCATTCTTGCAGCCACAGTGTCAGTCCCTCTTGTTGAGCGTCTTCCTCTTTTTCCCTGACCCTCTACCAAACATGATGTCCTTTTCCAGAGACTGGTCCCTCCTGATAACATGTCCAAAGTATGTGAGATACGGTCTCACCATCCTTGCTTGTAAGGAACATTCTGCCTGTACTTTTTCCAAGATAGATTTGTTCGTTTTTCTGGCAGTCCATGATATATTCAGTATTCTTCACTGACACCATAATTCAAAGGCATCAATTCTTCTTCACGATTTCTTATTCATTGTCCAGCTTTTGCATGCATATGGGACGATTGAAAATACCATGGCTTGGGTCAGGAGCACCTTAGCCCTCAAAGTCACATCTTTGCTTTTTAACACTTTAAAGAGGTCTTTTGCAGCAGATTTGCCCAGTGCAAATATGTCGTTTGATTTCTTGACTGCTGCTTCCATGGGCATTGATTGTGGATCCAAGTAAAATGAAGCTTCAATATTTTCTCCATTTATCATGATGTGGCTTATTGGTCCAATTGTGAGGACTTTTTCTTTTTTATGTTGAGGTGTAATCCATACTGAAGGCTGTAGTCTTTGATCTTGATTAGTAAATGCTTCAAGTCCTCTTCACTTTCAGGAAGCAAGGATGTGTCATCTGCATACTGCAGGTTATTAATGAATCTTATTCCATTCCTGATGCTGTGTTCTTTTTCATATAGTTCAGCTTCTCAGATTATTTGCTCAGCATAAAGATTGAATAAGTATGGTGGAAGGATACAGCCCTGACACACACCTTTCCTGATTTTAAGCCATGCAGTATCCCCTTGTTCTGTTTGGTCTATGTACAGGTTCTGCATAAGCACAATTAAGTGTTCTGAAATTCCTATTCTTTCCAATGTTATCCGTAATTTGTTACGATCCACACAGTGAATGGCTTTGCATAGTCAGTAAAACACAGGTAAATATTTTTCTGTTATTCTCTGTTTTTGGCAAAAATCCATCTGACATCAGCAATGATATTCCTCATCCCATGTCTTCTTCTGAATCTGGCTTGAATTTCTGGCAGTTCCCTATTGATGTACTGTTGCAACTGTTTTAAATTATCTGTAGTAAAATTTTACTTACATGTGGTATTAATAATATTGTGCAATAATTTCCACATTCTGTTGGATCACCCATAAGACCAAAATCTGTTTCTTGGAAAAGATCAACAAAATTTATAAACCACTGGCCGAACTGACAAAATAAACACAGGAGAGGAAGCCAATAAGAAATGAGATGGGTGATATCACAAAAGACCCAACTGAAATTAAAAGAATCATAACAGAATACTATGAAAAATTATACTCTTACAAATTTGAAAACCTAGAGGAAATGGATAAATTTCTAGAAACTCACTACCTACCTAAACTAACACACACAGAGGTAGAACAACTAAATAAACCCATAACAAAATCGGAGATTGAAAAAGTATTTAAAAAACTCCCAACAAAAAAAATCCCTGGCCCAGATTGCTTCACTGTAGAATTCTACCAAATTTCCAGAGAAGAGTTAATACCACTACTACTAAAGGTATTTCAGAACATAAAAAAGGATGGAATACTCCCAAACTCATTCTCTGAAGCCAGCATAACCCTGATACCTAAACCACGTAAAGGCACCACAAAAAAAGAAAATAACAGACCAGTATCCCTCATGAACATTGACACAAAAATCCCCAACAAAATTCTAGCCAATAGAATTCAGCAACATATCAAAAAAATAATTCACCATGATCAAGGTATACAGGAATGATTCAACATTAGAAAGACAATCAATGTAATGCATCACGTAAATAAAACAAAAGACAAGAAACACATGATCTTATCAATTGATGCAGAAAAGGCATTTGACAAAGTCCAACACCCATTCATGATAAAAACTCTCGGCAAAATAGGAATAGAAGGAAAATTCCTCAAAATAATTAAGGGCTTTTATACAATGCCAACAGCTAACATCATCCTAAATGGAGAGACTTTGAAAGCATTCCCCTTGAGAACGGGAACCAGACAAGGATGCCCTTTATCACCACTCTTATTCAACATTGTGCTGGAGGTCCTAGCCAGAGCAATTAGGCTAGAAAAAGAAATAAAGGGCTTCCAAATTTGTAGGGAAGAAGTGAAGGCATCTCTATTTGCAGATGATATAATCATATACACAGAAAACCCCAAAGAATCCACAAGAAGACTATTGGAACTAATAGAAGATTTCAACAAAGTTTCAGAATACAAGATAAACATACAAAAATCATTTGGATTCCTTTACACCAACAAAGAGAACCTTGAAGGGGAAATCACCATCAGTACCATTTACAATATCCTCCAAGAAGATAAAATACTTAGGAATAAATCTAACCAGAGTTGTAAAAGACCTATACTATGAAAACTACAAGACACTACTGCAAGAAACCAAAAGAGACCTGCATGAAGTGGAAAAACATACCTTGCTCATGGATAGGAAGACTCAACATTGTGAAAATGTCAGTTCTACCCAAAGCGATCTACAGATACAATGTGAATCCCAATCCAAATTCCAACAGCATTTTTTAATGAGATGGAGAAAGAAATGACCAACTTCATATGGAAAGGGAAGAGGCCCCGGATAAATAAAGCGTTACTCAGGAGGAACAAAGTGGGAGGCCTCACACTACTTGATTTTAGAATCTATTATACTTCCACTGTAGTCAGAATAGCCTGGTACTGGTACAACAACAGACACATAGACCAATGGAACAGAATTGAGAATCCAGACATAAATTCATCCACCTATGAGCAGCTGATATTTGGCAAAGGCCCAAAGTCTGTTAATTGGAG